CTGTAACTGTGACCATACAGAAGGCTGTAATTTCTAATCACAAATGGCTTTTTATTTAAAAATCCTGTTACTTACAAGTCACTGAGAAATTAAACCCAGTTCTAGCTAATGAAAAACTTAGCCCAGAGATGTCCCAGTGTTAAGCTGTGAGAATCCAGTACTTTCCTGAATATTTGTGCTGTACAGGACTTAAACAAGAACCAAACCTTACATATTTGAAGGGAGAACCAAACAGCTGAGGTAGGTACCAAATTTAGTAGTGCAATATAATTTCTCTTGGAAGCAGTAGACCAGTAATCTGGGAATTTTGGCTGTCATCCTGCTACTATTTATGAGCAATTTTAATGTAGTAATTACACGTAGGGAAAATTTTTCACTAGGTTGATGAGATAAATGGAAATGTAATTTTTTTCTTGTTTGGTTGTCCAATATTTTTATTACATCCTTCTGGAAGTAAGGGGGTATAATAAAAGATTCTGGAACTGCATTGCTCCTTGGAAAAAACTGGAGCAAAATTTTGAAAGATTTGCTTAGTGTAAGTTAAAGGCAGCTCATTAAACAAACAAATGAGCTGTCCTTAGAGCAATCAGTATTTACTATTAACTGAACAGCACAGTAAATAATGAATTGCAGGTAAGGAACTACAGATAAGTATTTGCAGTGAATTCAAATTACTTGACTTAAGCCTGAGGCAGAGAAAAGCAAATAGAAGGATAGAAATGGAGGGAGGAGGGGGGGAAAGCGAACGGGAGAGGAGGGGTTGTGAATGTGACATTTGTTGCATCGATATGTGTTCATTCCTTGGGTGGAAGAAAGGTTTTCTTTGGCAACCTGGTGCCCCCCTCCCTGGTCCAAGGGATGCTGCAGCCAGCTCCTTGTGAGAACAAAGGAGGAGGTGGAATTCCTGGAGGAAAGGGGAGGAGAAGACTTTGGGGAGACCTTACAGCCTGACAGTACCTGAAGGGGGCTCACAGGAAGGCTGGAGAGGGGCTTTTCCCAACCCCTTGTTGTGACAGGACAAGGGGGAATGGCTTCACACTGACAGGGGGCAGGGATGGGTTGGATGTTGGGAAGATTGGATTGGATATTGGGAAGATATTCTTCCCTGTGAGGATGGTGAGGGACTGGCACAGGCTCCTCAGAGAGGTTGTGGCTGCCCCACATCCACAAGGTGTCCAAGGCCAGGTTGGACAGGGCTTGGAGCAACCTGGGCTAGTGGAAGGTGTCCCTGCCCATGGCAGGGGTGGCACTGGGTGGGCTTTAAGGTCCCTTCCAACCTAAACCATGCAGTGATTCCATGAAAAACAGGAGCTCTGGGCCTCACCCAACGCTATCTCAGAGCAGGGCTGGTGTTTTACCAAGGTAGGATTTTGGAAGGTGCTCTCTGGCACTCACCCACCCCCAAGGACAGAGCTGTGCTTTGGCACCAGAGAGACCGAAACCTGCCCACAGCTGCCAAGTGCCTGCACAGCTCCCTCATTTATTTCTCCAAATTACTGAAGCAACTAAATTGTTCATTTGCTAGGAACTGGCACAAGATGAGAACTTTTGGGCTGGAGTTTAATCATCCCAGGAGGGAAGAATTGTGCTGCCTGAAGTTTGGGCATGTGGCTGTGTTTGAAGCCGGGATGGATGGGCTGTCTGGATGGATAGATGGATGGATGTCTGGGCATCTGATGGAGGATGTCTGATATGGCTTGTTTAGGAAGGGACTGGGGGTTGTTTGGGTGCTGGAGATGAGAGGAGGGGTTGGTGATTTAATCAGGATCTTTGTAGTTTCAGCTGAGTTGTGGGCTTGAGGCTGGGTGGGACAGCCAAGGGTGTGACAGCCATCCTAAACACCTGAAGCCATCCTAAACACCTGAAGCCATCCTAAACACCTAAAGCCATCCTAAACGCCTACAGCTTGGCAGCCCTCTCTGTAGTCACCTTAAATAAGGTTAATAGCTTGGCACAGGTCTCTGCTGGGAGGATGAGTCTCACCTGTCCATGTGCTGAGGACCAGCATTGTCCAGAACAGGGTGCAGCAGAGACTGGGGGAGATGTGCATAAAGGGCTGGCATTCCATAAAACCTACTGTCAGCCCAGACAGCACCTCTGCTGCTCCATTAGGGATAATATATATGACATGGGAACAGGAGGCTTGTCTTGCTGGATAGTTATCACCAGGCAAACACCTCCAGAAAGATAGAGATGCTTAATTCCTCTTGCTTGGTTCCTTTCACACCGGGGCTGCATCTTGGGGAATCCACCCCAGAATAAACCAGTCAAGGTAAAACACAGTGCAGAGAGATTTCCAAGTGGCCTCTGGAAGTATCCTCTGGCTGTGCACAAGTCCAGCAGCACCAGTCCCCTGTGCTGGCTGCTTCCCAATGCTGGTGCTGTCAGCCCCTGCATTAGTATTCCAGCCAGGGAAGAGGAGCGAGGCGCTAGACAGGCCGACTAATTACAGCAGCCTGCAGAGGCAAGTCATGCTGTACCACAGGATAAAGGATATCCTGCTTATTTGGAATGTTTCTGCTTTGCTCTGTCACTTTATTTAAAAAAAAAACCAAAAAACGATGGTGTGAGCTGATGGGTTTGGGTAAGGAATCGAGCTGTATTCCTGGTTTCTTCCTTGAATTTAATCTGAATCTACACAACGCTTTGTAACATTGATATAAAAAGAAACTTGCTGCTGCTCAGCCTGTGACCTTAGCAGGCTGCACACCTCCTGGAATCCCAGCTCTCCTGCCTCTGGTTGGCATCCTGACCTGCCTGCTCGGGTCCCCAGAGCTGTCAGCAGATGGGAGAGAGGAGGATTTCACTGCCACGGATGTACCATCTGCAGGCAGCAACACTGGTCAGATTTTTATGGGCCTAAATTGCAATTCTGTGTCCAGAGGGTTTGCTGTCAGAGCATCTGTTTTGCTGTGGCTGACACAGATCTGGAGCTGAGTGTCTGCCAGGAGCAGGTGAGGGAGGGTGGGAGCCCTGTCCTGCGGTGACAGCAGCCATCAGGTGGGGCTGCTCCGTGTCCTGGGTGCCCCCCAGGCTGTCACACAGCCCAGCTTTTAGCAGGCTGAGGGTTGGAAAGGTCCATTACTCACCAGTTAGAGCCAGGAGAACTCAAACTGTGGGAAATACTGACTGCCACAAAACACAACCTGCTGGTGCTGCCTCATTCTGCCTGATTTGCTCTCGGGCACAGCCTGGGGGTGGCAGCAAAGCCAGAGGGTCTCTGTCCCCTCCGGTGCCCTTCTGCACCATCCCCCTCTGTGAAACCAGCACTAAGCAGATTAGTCAGGTTCTTCCATCAGCAAACACTCGCTACCTAAGATACTTATAAGACATCTGGTTTTTAGCCTCATTTCTAACCAAATGAGGCTTATGTGATTATGGTGTCTGTCGCCTGCCCCTCGTTGGCCAATTTCAACCTTCATCCAAGGATTTTGCTCTCAAAGACCTCACCTTCCAGGAAGTTTTCATGAGCTGGGGACCATGTGAACAGAAGTTACCCTGGAGGAAGGGCCACCGCACAACCTGTTGCTCAATCCCAAGAGCTGAAGCGAGAGGGAGCGTGCTGGGTAAAAGGGGAATCTTTACTTTGTGCCTGTGTGTTGTAGAGGTCCAGCAAACCAACTGTGAGGAGAAAACCCTGTGTGTGTGTGTGGGCTGTGGCTCAGCTCTGTCCCTGCTCCAGCCGTGCTGGGCAAGGACGAGCATCCCCGGGTCCCACCTCCCGCCTGCCCCCAGTGCCAACTGCTCCCGGTGATCCCGGGATTGCTTTTCTGATCCCTGGATTAACCGGGTGGGATGTGCAAAGATCCAAGAGCCGTGTTTGAGCCAGGCTTAGTCTGGAAATGGATTGCCACGGTCGTACAGCTCTGCCTGTGAACTTGGTGGCTGGAGTCAGAGCTCACTGTGCTGCACAGGGCTGGGGTTGCTCCTTTGCACAGTAGACTTGTCTTAAAAATGGCTCTTGTGAAATTATCTTGACAATGAGGTCTAAATTCTCTTGGGACTGATGTCCCTTAGCATTATGTGTTAGAGGATGCACAGGTACAAAACACACCTCAGAGTGGTTCATAATTCACTGAGATACCATGAATGAAGCTGCATGAAATCCTCTGTGTACCCACATTCACAGAATCAAAGAATCTCAGAATGTTTGGGGTTGGATGGGACTTTGCAGATCATCCAGTCCCACCCCCTGCCATGGGCAGGGACACCTTCCACTAGCCCAGGTTGCTCCAAGCCCCGTCCAACCTGGCCTTGGACACTTCCAGGGATGGGGCAGCCACAGCTTCTCTGGGCAACCTGGGCCAGGGCCTCCCCACCCTCCCAGGGAACAATTTCTTCCTGCTGTCTGATCTAAACCAGACTTTTACTTCTCTGTGAATTGCTCTTGAATGCTCATTAGCACTGGATATGTCTCCTTTTGGCAGCTAAAAGACATTTTTGCCTTGTAATGAAGAACCAAAGAGTGTCTAATGGAATGTGTAAAACCTACCTATAGGAGTTCTGGGATTATGGAGGAAAAGCAAATGTTTCATGTTCTGGTCCTTATTAATGAACTAAATGAGATTGTGTCCTTTTTTTAAGAATAAATGAAAGATAAAAGACAGATGAGATTTATGAACAAGGTCATTAGTGTACCAAATTTCTCTCATTAGATCTGTTACATTACTTTCCAACTTACACAACTCTCATTAGAAAAATTTATGAACTGGAATGATTACAAATATACTGCATTTTAAACCATCCCTACTTTTAATTGCAACCCCCCAAAAAAAATAATTAACCTTCTATGCTATAATAGAGTTGTACTTTTGTGTATATATTTTTTTGTTAGAGATGTAATGGGGGTTATTCCTGAAACCAAAGGATGGAGAGAGAGGAGAGGAAATTGGACCACTTAGTGCAATTTGCAGTTTAGCTGAAGCATTTACTTTATTTATAACTTTGTTAGACCCAAGTTCATTTTGCAGGGTAATATTGTTGTTTCTTCTCCTCACTAGACTTCCACTTTCACATCCCTACGTCTGATTTGAAGCGACAGTGAGAGGAAGCACCAGGTATCTCTTGTTCTGTTTGGACTCCTTGTTTACAGAAGAGTGATGGAGATGCTATTAAGCACAAAAGGCATCACCATATGCCTGTTTTTCTTTGTATTGAGTTTGGCAGCAGCTATTGAAATACCATTATCAGGTGAGTTGTAGTTATTTGCTGTACACTTTGCTGTTTTGTTTGATATCCCCTTTTTTCCTTTTAAACTTCCCCTGAAGAAAAAAAATATTAAATCCTCCTTTCCAGTTGTTCCATTTCAAATTTAATCCTGCCACAACCTGGCCTTTGGGAAATTCGGGTGTGATACAAAGTAGAGCTACTCTGGTTTTGCCTGTTTAAATGCAGCAGTGAACTTGTCTAATAACATCTAGCTGGTGTTTGCCATCCAACACACAGCTTAGCTCCGAGGGTTTGGGTTTGTCCTTCACATAAATTCCTCATTTTGGCTCTGAATCTCCCTGAAGCTTGTTTGATGTACATATATCCTTGTTTTCTTGTCTTGCAACCTGCCATTCCAGCCTGGAAAAGGAGCAGGTGTGTGGCTCAGGGTGGATGTTGGTCCCCAGGGAGGTATTTTGTGCTTTGTATCCCCCCGGGGAGCACCTCCTGTGTCCCTCTCTGGCTGTGGTGCATTTAAACTGCCTGTTTTACACGGTCCATGTGCTTCCAGGACACGTGTAAAATATGGGATGAGGCTCATAGGGAGCAATCCAAGCAAAGCCCATGAACCCCACTGCCTGGAGCACAGCCCAGACCTCTGAGCTCTGCATTTTCTAAACATAAATGGACCAGGAGGATTGCAAACTGCACTAGGGTGTTGGTTTGGTTTGGTGTGGTTTGGTTTGGTTTGGTTTTTTTTTTGGGGGGGTGGTTAAACAGTCTCAACAAAGGAAAACTCAACAATATTGGGGTTTACGAATTATGGTGGGGGAAAATAAACAAATAAACCTAAGGGAAAAGCATTGTGGGTTCTTTGCAGGGTTTTGAGTGATGTGGCCTCAGAGTAGGACATGAGCCAGTTTTGGGGCATCCCGTGGAGCTGCTGTGAGCTGTCAGCACCCTGGAGCTGCCAACAGCCCTGGCTGCAAAGGGGAAGGCAACCAAGCAGGGTTAGAGGAGTTTTCTTTAAAGCTGTCCCAATTTGCATCGGAAAGTAGAGGGTTTTTTTTCAGGAAGGTTCTGCAGCAGCTCCTTGAGTTTCAATAATGCAGAAGTGGAGCTGTGCCTGTGAAGTGCAGGACAAACTGCCTGGGCACCCACTGCTTTTACGTGAGGGAACCACATCACCATTAATTTGCTCTAACAAAGCATTTTATATTTTAATAAAAAGAGTTCTTCCTGATCAGTGAAGCTGGTGGTCTTAGAAAGTGTTCAGCTTTGAGACCACACGATACGATCAGACATTTCGCTCCAGCTTTGAGCTTCCTGGACTCCAAATAGCAACCAAAGAGCATGTTAATTCTCTTGCTGGCTGTTTATAACAATGTGATGATCCCATTATCCCCAGCCCTGCTGCAGGGAGTGTTCTCCCTCGTGTGGCTCTGCTACACAGGCATTTGCAACACTTTAATTCCCTCAGAAAAAAAAACAATGTTAGTGCAACATCCTTGCGTGACCGTGTGAGTGGTAACTCTGCACCCTGGAGGGGTATTAACTCAGCCTTGCAGTCCATGGATTTCCTGGCAATTTTATCCAGGACAGAGGTACAAGTTTGCTGCTTCATGTGTGTGAATCTGTGTCTGGATTAAAAGCCAGTTATTGACTTGCCCTATGGATAAATTCCCCAGCCCACGGCCCCGTGCTTTGGCTGCAGGGGTAGCACAGTCCCAGCTCTGAACGTGAGCAGGTGATGCCCCTGGGCTGGGCACAGCCAAGCCTTTCTTTGGCCACTGGGGCAGTGCCAGTGACCAGTTTGGGGGAGCAGAGAGCACTGTCCATACCAGGAAGATGATGATTATGTTTTTATTAAGACAAGACTCCCTTTTAGTAGGAATGGGGCAATCCTGACATTGTCCCTTTCCAAGGAAGGACCCGAGGGAGCTCCGTTTTGCTTGCCTGGTGATTTAACCCAATACCTGTTTGTGCTCAGTCTCACAGCTTCCAACAATCACAGAGCAATCCCACACCCAGGTTGCCTACCCCTTTGATGAGGACTTTACAATTAAATGTGAAGCCAGAGGAAACCCACATCCCACGTGAGTAGTGCTGGGGGAAGCAGCAGAAACTGTTTGCTTTTAACCTTTGCCAAACATTGTTCTGGCTGTGGGTGGCTGGTGCACATTAACCTGCTCATCATCATGGTTAAGGTTTGGGTTTCCACTTGGGCCAGTCAGTTTTTGTTGCTCCATCACTTCCCCTCACTCTGTAAGTAGGTATCAACATGTTTTTTCTTGCTGGGAGATGTTCCATTTCTCTGGCACGTGCCAAGTTCACCCCATGATTTAAAAAAAACCTTGTCTGGGCAGTGCTGCAAAAGATAGGAGGTGTGTAATAATAATCAAAGGAGCCCAGCTGCTCTTCTGCCTTTTCCACAGCCACCTTAAAAATGCCAAACACATTAAATCATGTATTCACACATCACATTTGCATTTTATCAGATAACTCATCTGTACCTGACATCATCAGGGCCATGGTGATGTTACAAACGGACACAGAAGGAGTCATTCAAATAAATATCCAAAGATAAGCTTTATGTATTTTACACCAGTGTAGAAAAGAGAAAGATTTTTAATGAAAATGTGATTAACAAGAATGTAAAAGCTCCTCTTGAGGCTTTCCACACTGAATGGGCTAAATTAATAACTGGTTTTCATGTCATTTTTAGTCTTTAATCCTTCCATTCTCCTTTCTCTGCAACACAATTTAAACTTTAAAAAGGTTTTTTTTTTACTTCATATCAAGATTACTTGGTCACTTTTAATTGAGCTCTGAATGGGGATTTGTAGCATGATAACAAATTCCCTTTGTTTCACAGATTGTCAGGGCATCAATGAGAAGTTTTCTGTTGTCTTGGAGTGATGTGATAGTGCCTGTTAGGTGATAGGAACCCAGATTCCCTCCATACTGTAGCAAGGCAGTTTTGCCAAAACTAGTGAAGTGACAAAATATACAGTTTTGTCGACATTAATTTATTCTCTTGAAACAATACTCTTAAAAAAAAAAAGGTACATCTCCCACTGAATGCATGTTATACTGTGATTTCCAACTGCCAGATTTTGAATCAGTGCAGCCAAATTTCAGTCCATCTGAGAAGTCCAGATACAGGACCTATGACAAATAGGTCACAAACAATGGTTGTTTTGCCATTCAACTCTCCCCTCTTACATCCTTTTATTTCAATAAAACACTCTTGGACCCACATTTACCCCTGGTTTAGTCTCCTAGTGCTGTTCTGGAACCTGCCCTTCCTAACACTTGTTTTATTTTTCAGCTTTAACTGGACTAAGGATGGAAAACCATTTGATTTGTTGTCTGACCCGAGGATAGTTACATCCAACAACTCTGGAACTTTTGTGATTCAAAACCGAGGAATCATCAACAATTTTCAAGGGAAATATCGTTGCTTTGCTTCCAACGTGCTGGGAACTGCCATGTCAGAAGAAATTGAGCTTATTGTTCCAAGTAAGGGTTTCACTTTACTTTTGGGTTGAAATTATTATTATTATTATTAATAATAATAATATATAACTATTATTAATAATATATAATTATTAATAATAATATATAATTAATAATAATAATATTAATATTAATATTAATATGAGAACTGTGTTTCCTGAAATGAAATGAGAAAGAACTTGTTCCTAAGTTGGTGTGTGGTGAAACATGAACTGTTTGTTACTCAGTGAATATTCAAGGGAAAAAATCTTATTTGCTCCCTGGAATGATTTAATTTAGTTGCTGGTTTTGAGGACAGAAATCAAATCTGGAGGCAGGATTTCAGACAAGACCCCTGGACTATCAACTCCCAAGTGCAGCTACTGACACTCCTTCCCAACTGCATCCAAATGAAACTGGGTAGAACATGTATATGTTTTCCCAGATACAGTATTTGGGAGAACATTTATTATTATTTACTTTTGCTCTTTGAGCATTTTCTGCCCCACTTTGCCTCTAGAGGATGAGTTAGTGAGTAAATTAGTATCAACTTTTTGATAGCCATCTCAGGAGAGCTGGAAGCTCAACAACAGAAAAGGATTGTTTGCTTTGACTTGGCTTTTTAAATGCCTTTGTAAAGCACTTTCTTTGCCTTTGCCATAAAACCCATAAGAATTCTTTTCTGATTTGTGTTTGTTTAGACCCACTGCTTCTTCTTCCACTTCTAATACTTTCCTCTTTCTCTAAAGAAGAAAGCATAAATATTGATGAGAGTTGTAGGCTGGTAAATTCTCTAAGTAATCTGGGCAGAGACAATTTGTTTGTGAGCTGATGCCAGCACATCATGAAAATATAGGAATTAAAATATTTGAAGAGATAAAGCAAATAGCAGAAAATATGACAGAGTAGCTAAGGGCAGTACAGTTATTGAAAGGCATTAGCTGTTCATGAAAGGTAAAAGTAATGGGATGGCTCATGAACTAGTGTTAGAATTATATTAAAAATTTAAACTGTAGTGGGCAATAAAGGATTAGGAAGCTGTTGTCAGAGAAGACAAAATTGGTTGGAGTCAGATCACTTTGGTTACATGTTGTAAAAGGCACTTTGTGAGTTTGGAGAAACTCCTGAGTTAAATTTGGCATGATCCCTCTGATATTGGATAATTTTATTTGATAAAGAATGAGAAATTATGTGATGCTTTTGCTTTCCAAACATTTATTGAAAAGCAAAAGCTGTTAAGGGTCATAAGACTGTAACATTTCAGCTCAGCAGCCACGACTGAAGGCTGTTCCAGTGAGGAACTGGAGGACAATATGGTCCCATCTCTGAGCTGGGAACAGGGAATTAGGAGCTGGGGGAAGGATGACACAAATAGCAGGTTTTTACAGCAAAATAGCAACTGATGCAAATGTTTGAAAGCTCCAGGGGAAGTGACTCAGTCAGCTGGGAGTTCATTAGTCTGATGTGAGGAGCAGTCTGGCTTTGGGATAATAAATACTTACAGGGAGGATTTGAAAGGCCTGGAACTGAGTGGAAAATGAGCTCAAAAATATAGTAGTGAAAATTAGTGATCCTGGAAACTTGTCCTTCCATCACCAGCACAGAGAGGGAAACGGGGGATTAGGGACCAGGTTTGCAGAAGTGGGATGCAATTTATGGATATGGATTTATGGATATAAAGTTCAAGGTCCTGGTTAGGACAATATTATAGAGTCAGTGAATCATTAAGGTTGGCAAAGACCTCTGAAGCTCATGGAGTCCAACCATTAACCCAGCACTGCCAGGTCCAACACTGGATCGTGTCCTGATGTTGATACAAGTGTCTTTGTACCAATACATTTCATCCCTTTTATTTTGGAAGATGAACACACAATTGTCTTAAATTCAGGATTGAAATATATGAAATTGGAAGAGAAAAATCTGAAGCAGAACCTTCTTAGTGGGAGTAGAAAGGAGAAGAAAATTCCCTGGCTCTGTGGTGGAGCAGGGTGAGAACATGGAACAGGCTGCACAATGCAGCTGTGGGATGTAGAGGAAGAAAAAATTCAGCAATGCAGTGGAATTTTTTCCAGGTTAGATCCTGCATTTCTGAGCTCCCACAATATTTTGTTGTCAAATATCTGACAGCCCTTTGTCCAGGTGGAATTGGTGTGTTCACGTGGCAGGGGATTCCTCCCCTGCCTTCTCAGCCTCACAGGGCCAGGACATGGCTATTTATGTACAAAACCTACTTCTGGCAGGTCAGTGTGGATGAAATGGGCTATGAGAAACACGTATGAACATTTTTTTCACGTCTTTTTCATAAGAAATAATTCTGAGAAGCATTCAAGGCGTAGCCAGGGGTGGGAGAGTCGTGGTGCTGTGGTCACACGGAACACAAGACACATTTTAAGGGCTGGGAGAGTTTCTGGCAGAGGACTTCTAAGGATGCCATGTGAATGTACTTTATGAGTGTTGCTCATGAAAGACATGGTTTATTTCCTTTCCATCCAGTTTTATGGATTTCTTTTTTTCCTTGGGAAATTTATTTCGTGTTGCAATGCACACCCTGATGCCACAGGTTGGTGTTTGTGAGGAATTCCCAAGATTGCATCTCTTGCTCTGTGGTTTAATCTCTACCAACATGCAATTACTTTAAGGGAATGTCATTCCAGAGTAGAGGAGAACTGCACAAAGTTTTAGGACAGTAAGCTGAGGTTTGCTGAGCTGATGGTGTAAGTTGGCTCCACAGGTGGGACAGTGCAGCTGATGCCACTGGAATTTCAGGCAGGAACAGGAGCCTGATGCAGTTCCTCAGCTTTAGACAGGACATGCTTACTCACTTTGCAGCCTGGCCAGGGCAGTGGGGTTCCTGTGACTTTTATAAGCAAAATGTCTCAAAGTCATTGCACTTCAGAGGAGTTGAGGACCTCAGTGTCACATTTCATTAAGGGATGTCACCTCCAGCAGCAGGATATTCCCATATTCCATTGCTCCTGAACTAAAAAAGATGCTTAACATGAAAAACAATTATGTCTGTATTTGGGAGTGTTAAATTTTTACTCAGAGTAGACATTTTTTGCTTTTAATGAAAAATTGGCTATACAGCTTGAGTAGGTATTAAATACACTGGGAACAGTTAGCAACAAATTCATTGAGAGGTTACAAACATGGCTGTTATCAAGTGCAGGAGGAATTTTAGAGCTAATATGTACAAAGTTCTAAACCCAGAAAATAAATACATGGTACAGATAACCTATTAGAGGGATTTACCAAACTCATACATCTCTTAAAGCACATTTGCTGTTATTGGTACTCTTCTGCCATCAAGTCTTTCATTTAATGGTGCAATGTAGATGCTGAAAATGAAATCAGGATTCAGAGAGGAATAGAAGACACATTTGCTTTTCTGAAGTGCTGGATGGTCCACAACTGTGGCCAAGTAAAAGAGCTGCTGCTGCACAGATCTGCTGCAAATCAGCAATCCCTGACAGAGGAGTTGGGCATAAATCACCTCTATTCACCCCCGGGTTTTGAAGCAGAGACTGGTACATGTTAGATCACTCCATGCATTCATGGCATGATGTAGAGGTGGCAGAGCTTTGCCAGCTGCATTCAAGTCAAATGTGAAGCTACTTGGCAAGTCACTGTGCCAGTGAAGGGAAGAAAACCCCAGCCAGTCAGAGAGGGCCAGCTTCTTTCATAAATTACATTTACACTGCAGCAGCAGAATACTGGGTCTGTGAGGTGGCTGCTGAAAAGGAGAACAAAAGGCTGTTTACTCACAGTAGTCATCCCAGGAAAGCAATGGAAATGTCAGCAGAAATGATCATTAAATCTCACCTACATAATGAAAATACCCCACCTCCCCTATATAGGTTGACATTAAGGAGAGGGGGAAGAATGGGCTCTGAGGATCTGATCTGTGTGCAGCACTAACAAAGGCCAGATTGTTACAAGATACATGCAGCAGGAAAATGAATTTAAATGGTGAGAACACAGACTTCAGCTCCCCTCCTCCTGGATTTTGGGAATCTGTTGCTTGAATTAGTGAGCAGGCCCCATGCCAGAGGAAGGAGAAGAAGTACAGTTTAAACTTCTTTAATTAACTGTGGTGTAAAAGACTCCTCATGGTAGATTGCCTTAAGATTTATGCTCAGTATTTCTAAAGCTGCTGCTCCAAAAGCCCAGAGATCTGGGGATGGAAATTTGGGCTGAACATAAAACTGTCCAGTGGCAGGCTCTGCTCTGCCAGTGATGTGAGCTCTAGAATTCCCAAAGAAAGCCAAACCTGTGTTAATATTCAAAAACCCAGATGTGAATATTGTGAAATCAGTAGAAGATGCTGAGCTGACACTGAAGCAGGAAGCCTCAGTAACCCACTTTGTGTTCCTCCATGGAAAATAAAAGAGAGGAACTCACTGAGACTTTGCAGGTGATGGGAATAAAATGTAACCCTCTTATCTCCTAACCCCATGTCCTGTACCTATGAGAACTTTACTGGCCATCTAAATGGTTGAGTTCACTCTGTTGCTAGCAACCATCATTTTGGAAAGGGTGATAGAGAGATTTATACAGGAAAAAGAAATCAGTGATTCCACCCCAGATCTTTGAGGGAGAGTAGACTGACAGCCACAGTCTTCTTGGCAGCCAGCCTTTGGTAACTTTTTCAATTTAATGCAACAATTAAAAAATCCATAAATAAGCAGGATTACATCTCATAAACAGTTCAAAGGCTGCAATGAAAATTACAGATTTAACTACTGCTCCTGTGGCTCAGAATATCAATTGAGGTGGAGAGATGAGCACTGGAAGCTTCCCAAGATGCATTCAGTGCACTTGTGATTGAGGACTGTAAATCATGTTTGAGATTCTTTGATATGTTGGGCTGTTTGCTGCACAAGATATAGATCTGCATGAAAAATCCTAATTAAAACTAATTAAAGTGTCCAAGGAACTGGAAATTGCCAGGATAACAAAATTTCTTGACTGTTTCTGCTTTCTCTCACTTTTACATCTTTTAAGGATTTATTTGCAAGGAGGAATATAGGAATATCCATGAGGGATCAGGCTAAGCATCCCTCTATCCCAGGACAAATCTCCAGCAGCATCCACAGAGAAAGTTATAAAAATAGACCTGGTGGATAGTGATGTTTTTCTACAATAGCTTCACGATGTATTCATTTGTTGTTGATTTAACATTAAGAATTGACTCCCATTTTATATCAGATACCAATAGAAACAAGACACAGGAGTCTCAAAGACAAGTTACCTGGAGAAATGCTTTTCCTTCAAGTTCTCAACACTTCACTGAGAAAAGTGTAAAATATCAGATTGAACGGGATGTATTCTTGTATAAAGTGGAATAAATTGCCATAACTGGTACAGTTGTAGTGTGAAGTCACTGTAGTCAGCAGCAGGACAAAAACCAAGCTGTGGGACAAAGTGTGCCAAAAGATACTTGAGTAAATCAGCAATTTTGGGGATGGAGAACCCAGTCTGGTTGATGTATTTGTGAATTTATGCAGCTAAACTCAAATGTGGATTTTATATTGCATTGTATTGGTGTCCCTCCCGTTTGTTTTTGGTTGAGAAACTGCATTTTCTGACCAGGTAAGAAGGAGGAGGGAGACACTCAGGCTCCTTTCTGAATTTTCTCCCAGCCACCCTGATTTCCCAGTAGTGCTTCAGGCTCCTCTCATTAAACTTTGAGTCACCCCAAGGGATTAAGCAAAGCCTGGTTCCTTGCACAAATGACTCTGGACACTGATAATCTTCCATTTCCATGGTTCACACACTGTCAAAGCACTTTAAGGCTGATTTTTGAGTGCTGTGCAGCAGTCATGGTACTGCCTCGTCAGGAATAAATACTTGGGCAGCAAAGCCTTTCCCAGGAAAAAAAAACCCAACAACTTTTCCCAGGTATTTTGAGAGTTTTAGACATCATGGAGGGCTTTTAGGAGATGTCTACATGTCAGGTGTGCAGATTTTTGTCTTCCCTGTGGCTGTTCAAGCTTAATTCAGCTGTGACAGTTCTTGTGATCAGCCACGAATCAGTAGTGATTGATTCTGGAATATCTCCTGTTTAGAACATAGGAACACTGCAAAAAATCCAAAATATTCCTGACATATGTACTGGAGACTGCTGTTCAAAAGCCAAAGTCTAATGTGAGAGTAGCTTCTTATTTTTAATAAATAAGAATTCAGAGCAGGTATTTTTCTGTTTGAGACCACAAAAAAATGCACTTGTCAGAAGGTTCGGCTCAGGAATTTATCCTGAAACTGAGTTTTCCTCTTTTACAAAGCTTCAAGGATTCAAAACACTCAAAGTTATGCATTATGAGAGGGGAAATCAGAGTTTTTCTATCTTTTTCATGGTGAAATAAGCAAAAAAAGCAGCAGGAAAGAGCCCAAAAGGCTCAGTCACCTGCAGTGCAAGTGCTTGTTTGAGGTGGAGGACGTTTGGGGTCAAATTTCTGCTTCCCCCAGTGAAGTCCAGATGCCAAATCTGGGCCACACTTTGGAGATGAATGTCTGTGCTCCCAGCTAATGACACTGAGAGCATGACTCTCCTGGTGGGACTCTATATTTTTGTGTAATTCTGTAATTACTGGCTATGGAAATACACTGCGAAGACCAGTGGTTATGGCACCCAACTGGGAGACTGGAGACCTAGATTTAGTTGTGCTAAATGAGGCAAACAATGAGTTTGAACAAGTTTCCAATGTCCTACATGAATGATCCCACTATTAGTCTATTTACTGGTCTCTGGTTTAGTCAGAAATCCCTTATCTTTCACTTGATCCAGCTTTCTTGAAGTTTTGTTGAGAGTGATGTTTCTTGGGAATAAACAAGCTTTAGATCAACAAATTGGCTTTTTCCTACTGGAAAACATTCACCTCTGCAGTCAGCAGATGTATTTTCCAGGACTTGAAGAATGTAGGTTGCTGAATGTACTGGATATAAATATGTAGTTCTTCTTTTTCACCTGAAATTTCACCTACAAGGGTGGGTGATGCTCATTAGCTCCATTTTGCCTCTCCTAAGAATTCATAACCTACTAATAATCCTCCTGGAGATAAAATCTCTGCACAGCCTGCATCCAGGCAATCAGCACTCTAATGATTGCTTCTTTTTATGTTTACTAATCCTGAAATGTCTGAAGTGTCCTCAGAGTCTTGTCCTTGCATTTCCCACCCTCCTCCTTAGGATGCTGCAGATTCCCTGCAGAGCTGCTGGACCACTGTTGTTTCAGGCTGTTGTTTCAGGCTGTGTAGGCACCATCAGAGCTCCCTGTCATGACTTGAACACCAGGATGGTGATATTTGCTGTGCCAGTTTGACTCTGCCCAGCCAGGACATTTTCATTCCTTTGCTGTTTAATTGCTCTTCATTTTGCTGGTTGAGGCAGTTGCTTAAACTGAAACTTTTTGCCGGTTTGAACTTGCCTGAAATGAAAGCAGGAGGCCCTGAAACTGTCTGAGCTAAACTCCTGTAAGGAGTGGTTCCATTTTGCAGGCTGGTTTCTTGGTGATAATCTCTGAGCTGCAGCCTCCCAGTGCTTGGTCTGGGGTGGGCTCTGCTCCCCCTCTTCTCAGATGCCCTTGGGTTGAAATTTGGGCTGCTGAGGTTGCCCAGGTTGACTTTGCACAGGCTGGTGTCAGTGCTGATGCTCTGGGTGATTAAACATCAACTATTTAACCTCTATTTCAGCCCAAAGAGTGCAGCCCTTGTGCTCCCCTGTGCAGTCTTTGTGCAAAGCCTGTCTCTGCATCCTGAGCTTGCTGGGGAAGTCTGCAGGGCTGAGCTTCCACCCCTGGGGGGATGAGGAGGGAACACAGGCTTTGCACCAGCTTTCTGCTCCCTCTGATTCTGGAGCTGGATAAGAACCGGGACACCTCCAGGCACGAGGTGGAATTGCTGCCTGATGTCTGTCCTCACCTGCAGGGACTTGCAAGTGGCTTCTTGGGAACCACTTTTTAGCCAACACTTCCCAGGACATTCTGCACTCCCAGGCTGGTTTCCCAGCTTCTGGGAGCAATTGGGGACCCACCAGTGCCCAGCCCTCTGTGCCAGGCTTGGCCTTAGGCTGTGGTTCTCTGGGGCTTGGAGTTGTCCCTTCCAGACAGTGCAAACAAAGGAGCTGTAGAAAGAGTTTGCAAATAAATGTGTTAAAATAAAGCCCAAGCAAAGCACAGGGACATCACGAACAAGTGTTAAACATCCCCATTCAGTGCCTGGCTTTCAATACCGTGGTCTGTGCACTTTGTGAATGAAGGGATTCCTACTCAGGCTATCCTTGAATGCAGGGATTTCCTACTCTGAGTAAATGCAGGGGTTTCCTACTCTGCACCACTTCATAAATAAGAATACCAATTAAAAGCAGGAATCCAAAGGAAGTTGTTAAGGTAAATATTTTGTTAAAAACTACATTAAAGGGGGAAGAAAAAACAAAATTTCAAAAGGTGACAATAAAAGAGGAACTTTTCCTTCTTTGTGCAGGTGTACCAAAGTTCCCCAAAGAAAAAATCGAGCCTCTGGATGTGGAGCATGGAGATTCTGTGATTTTGCACTGTAACCCCCCAAAAGGCATCCCACCTTTGCATATCTATTGGATGAATATTGGTAAGTAAACAGTTTTGGCACAGTTCATGCAAGGAGATTCAAAACATTTGTCTTCCAGAGCAGCTTCATTGCAGATTCATAATTGATGAGAATGAGAAGTCTGCAAGTGCTTGGGAGAAATATCTGGATACTCAAAAATGAAGAATGGAGATCTGTCTTCACAGGACACAAGTTGTAGAGTGGATTGACACAATAAGTTATCAAAGATGAGCTATCAGAAAGCTCATATTTCAGTTAATGACTACCAATAATGAGGATTCCTGCATTTATGGAGAGAGGATATTATGTGTCAATATTCATCAACTAATGGTTGATTTATGAAACCAAGAAAAAAAACAATCTGTTGGGTTTGTATAATTAGTTCCTTGTGGGTTTCTGTGCTGTTATTCTGCAGCATTTGTGCTCTGCAGGAATTTCTGGCTCTTGGGAAGCAAAGTAACTCCTGTTGTCTCCATGACATGAAAGGTTTGTTTGGGATGCTGCCCAGGTACCTGCAGAGACAGGGTGCCAGACTAAAGCTCTGATCCTTTAAGGCAGCCCCGCTGCTCCTGCCAGGCCTGGTTAGCACAGACCTGCATTAGGCTGGATCAGCAAGGAGGCAGAACAGCAACCCAAGCTCCTACAAATGTGCCCTGCCCTAATCTGGAGTTACAGAACAGCAAAATGCTTGGGAGACTGGCTGGGGAGACATCTGCCAGTGGTGACCTCCAGATCACCATTCCAGACCTTTCTGTTAGGAGAGATGCTGAAAATTTACTTCTACCTGAGCAGGAACTTTGCCCTGTGTATTTTTTATTATCGATTATTTTCCATCTACATTATAAATAGGTATTGTTACAGAAAAATATTTATTGTACATTGAATATTGATGAATAACCCATTGTTTACGCCGTGTTTTCTGCCTTTTTGCATCCAAGTTCTGTTTTGTGGCTGTATCTGGAAGGAAGCACATGAGAGGGGAGCATTAGTGAAGCAGCTCAGTGTCATTACCATCTCACAATTATTTTCTTCTTGCAGATTTGCAGCACATTCCACAAGATGAAAGGGTCTCCATGAGCCTTAAGGGAGATCTGTACTTCGCCAACGTGGAGGAGAATGACAGTAGGAGTGATTATTGTTGCTTTGCAGCATTTCCAAGGCTCAGGACAATTGTGCAGAAAATGCCAATGACGCTGAAGGTTTCCCGTTGTAAGTCTGGGCATGAGCAGTTCCCTGTTTTCTGATGCTTTCTGAACTCCCCAGGCATCAGTGCGTGCCCATGTGTGCCCTGTGTCTTTGAAGAGATGCTCTCTTAAGAAAGGGCACATTACTGAGCTTATTTCCTGCATTATTAACCTTATTCTCAGAGCTAAATTCAACCCAGAAAAGCTTTTTGCAGCTGTCGGACCCCAAAAGTGCCCCGTTCTTCCTCCTGTTCTCCCCACGGGGAAAGCCAATGATGTATTAGGGAAATCTGCTTCTCTTACAGTCCTGCAGGTCTCTGACAGATGGGACTTCACTGGGTTTTGAGGACTTTATGTGGCCACCTCCTCTCTGTTTTTGTCCAGCTGCATCCATGTGGTTGGGAAGGATGGTGCTTTCCAGGCTGCCCTCAGTATCAGTGGTCACACAAAAGGCACTTTCCATTTTCTTCATGAAATGTTGTGTAGGGAACATCAAATTTTCATTTATTTATTTTTTTTAAATTTATTTTTCCATCTCTGTTTTCCTGTAGTCTCCAAGGATTTTATACCAAAGATGGTTTCAGGTACTGCCCTGCCCTCGGGTCTCACTGGGGCGTGCAGGGATTGCTCTCCCACAGAATCTCACAATTGTTGAGGTTGGAAAAGTCCTTGAAGATCATTGAGTCCAACTGTTCTCCCAGAACTGCCAAGCCCAGAACTAACCCAGCTCCCCAAGTGCCACATCTACGTGGCTTTAAAATCCCTGTAGGGATGGGGATTCCACCACTGGAAAAACCTTTCAGTGAAGAAATTTTCCCTGATATCCAACGTAAACCTCCCTTGGTGCAACTTGAGGCTGTTTCCTCTTGTCCTGTTCCCTGTGAGGAGACCAACATCCCCTCAGCTCCCCTCTCCTGTCAGGGAGTTGCAGAGCCAGAAGGTCCCTCCTGACCCCCCTTTTCTCCAGGCTGAGCCCCCCCAGCTCCCTCAGCTGCTCCTGCTGCTCCAGCCCCTTCCCAGCTCCATCAAACCTGTCCATTTTTTGGGCGCACACAACCTGCTGTGGTGTCAAACCCCTGATTCCAGCCCTGACTGGATGGGCTGTACACCTACAGTGTTAGAACCAGAGGAAAAGGATACAAATACTCAAGGAAAAAAAAAAAAATAACCCCAGCCTTTGGGGCACAGTTCCAGCTGTGCTAAATCAGCAAAGCCCAACAGAAACTGGTGGAACTAAGGCAGCTTAAACCAGCTGGAGGCCCATCCTGCTCTGCCTGCACCTCTTCTGGCTGTAAGAATTTGTGCTATCACTTGTACCACTCACTGAGCTCCCGGTGCCCTTAATATCAGTTTTCTGTTTCACTAATACTTCTGACCTTTGGGGCTTATGCAGCTCAGAAAGCCAAGGAGATTTTTTTTGCTTCGTGAATGAAAATCTCATATTTAATATGTGATTCTGAGTGTTTTCTTGTCAGGATAAAAAGATAAAGGATTGACTGGTGGCTTTGTGTGTCTTAATGCTTGCTTAAAGTGTATCTTGGGATAATAATTGTGAGAAAAATATCCAGGGGAAACGTTGCTCTCTGTGGGTTTTCCACTGGGTCCAGTCCCCCACACGTGCACACACAGAGAAAAATTAGATGGGCTTTGGCTGTGGGGCCACTGGTAGCCCTGGAAGCGACCCAAAAACCCACTTCAGTGTGTCCACTTTGTCATCAAAGTCACAAGACTTGGTCTAGGAAAAAAAAAAAAGTGAAACATAAATTAAAGGGTTTTGTAAACTCAGCTTGACATCGCCCACCCCACTCTGTGCCAAGTCCCTGCTGAGGGACTGCATTAAAAAAAGACATATAAGGAAATTTAAGCAATAAGAAACAAGAGAATAAATAAATTAGATACCCTTTCTTTTTAATGGATACTTAGAACTTAGTGATTTTTTTTTTTACCCTAGATAGCAAGGTTGAAAAGCTGATTGCATCACCCATGGAGTATTTTGCAGAATAACACATATATTTGAACAATTTCCATTGTATTTTCAAAAATTTGTTGTTCATCTGTTACTTTCCTTTATATTTTTCTTTCTTTCTTTCTTTTATGGCAGAAATTGAGGGGGGTTGGGGCGGGGCATGATTTTGTTTTGGTTGATTTATTGTTTCTTTTGATTCTATCTCAACCCTGCATGTTTGTGTTTGGTTGTCACTTTTATTTATTTCAGTAAAGCATGCTAATGACTCAGGCTCACCTAACGCTGCTGTTACTAAGGGTGAGTTGAATACATCTGTTCTTTAGCCTTTAAACTGAGAATCCACCAGCTGAGATGAAATGGGAACCGGTAAAAAAAAAAAAAAAAAAGAAAAAATATCACAAAAGCCTTTTGATTGTGATGGGTTGGATTTAAGTGCTCCGTGGAGGACAATTTGCTCATCTCAAAGTTTTTGACAGAAGTCTGCAGGGTTTTTAATAAAAAGGTAGCTTTTTTTAGTTGAGGAAGAAGCATTCACTCTCCAGAACATGATGTAAGGAGGGTGACATCCTGGGTTTCTTGTGTTATCAGCTCAGAGCAGCAGCCAGAGCTGGATGCTCCAGATCTTTTTCTGGCAGTTAGGAAAACTCTAGGATTAGGGAGCCACGGTTTGACACCATGAATTCATGTCCAAAGGGTCACCCAGGGGCTGCATTATTTCAGGGGGAGCTCAAGGTGTGGATTTACAGAGTTTTGGGTGCTCTGAGTTAATTGTCCCCATGGACACAACCCTCCCTGTATATGAGAGGTGCTTCTCTCTGTCTGTACCTTGACCTGCATGTTACACCCCACAAGTAAGGACTACAGCAAAGCATTTCTCATCCTGAGGATTCCCAGTTTCCATTGCTTTTTGTGCCCCTCTCTGAAAAAATAACCTGGAAATATCCTGCTGAGCTTTATGCAGGCAGTGGGGATAAGCCAGAAGGCAGCTAGTGGCTATTCCTGCAATTCTCCACCCAGTTAATTTTGTTTAAAATGTATAAAAACGAGAGTCTTGGGTTTTGTTTGTAGCTCTTGACTCTGATTTCTTTGGTTGAATTACTTTTTAGAGTCTCTGTTTTTTGAAATGCCCGATTCGAACCTCCCGAAAGATCTTGTTTTGCTGGACAAGCTCCGAGAAGGGTTTTGGGGATGGATGATTTGGAGCACTCATCAAGCCTCAAGCCTTTGCCCGTGGAGGCTGAGCCCTGTGAGCAGAGCAAGCAGGTCTTGGGAGGTGTGGCAGACACTCCAACCCAGCTTTTCCCTCCGAGGGATATCTGAACTCCTGCTGGGAAGGGGCACTGCCTGCCTTTGGAAGCAGGAGGTGGAGGCAGATGGGAAATGTGTGAGCGTATCCAGAGGCACCAAAGGGTTCTGCTGCAGCTCAGAGCACTTGTGACACAGATCTGTAGAGATACAAAGCAAGGGGAGGAAGAAATGAAAAATTGGAAAATGGTTCAGGGAGATATATGTGGTCTTTTACCAAATCATCCATAACTGACTATTTTTGAAGAACTAGGACCATTTGGGGACTTATTCATTACTGTGCTAATTGTTATGAGAGTGATAACTGGGCAGGCATTGAACTCTCTCTGTGTCTCATCATGAAACCCTTGTTTGGCAGCCTGGAACAAATGGGCCGTTGAAATCAAATACAAGTCAATCTTGTTTTATTATTTTAACAGTCTTCCCTACAAATTGTATCTCCATTACTGTAGATTTAATAATTGTAGCAAGAAGGGCAATTCTGTGTGATGTTCAAGTCAGGAGAGATGATGTTTCGTCTGAGGTTTAAAACATAACAAAGTCAATGCAGAAGAAGGGTGTTAAGAAAGATGGTGTGGACCAGAAGCTCAGCAACTGAGGGCACCAGTGTACACAGACTGGATGAGATGAATGGTAGGAAGGGCCAGTGCTTGGAAAACAGGACATAAAACTGTAGGAAAAAGGGGTTTCACCAGTACTGCTGCCTGTTGATATCACTGTACTTGTCTTCTGACTCTTATCAGGAGAAATAAATGTCCTGGATTAGCCTCAAACTGTGTAAATAAAAAAGAAAACGTTCAAATCCATGTCTGAAACCTTCTGACAGCAGTGATGTTTGGGGCATTACTGAGGGCCCTAAGAGTTCATGTCTAACTTCTCCTTTATTTTATCTTTCAGCAAATTTTATCAAGGAAAGAAAACCCAAACTGCTGATCCCTCCTGAATCTGCTGGCAGTAGCTCATCAGTCACTGTCATCAAGGGAGGTGTCCTGCTCCTCGAATGTATTGCTGAAGGGCTGTGAGTAATGCACAATTCTGCACAACTTAATCACCTCTTGAGATAGAAATGAGCAGAGAAAAAGCTGTATTACCAATTATACAACAGTTTGAAATTGAATTTCTAGGCAGAGTTGTTTGTGAAGTTTGTGTGCTCCTTGTAAAGCAGCACAGAGCACATGCAACACTGGTTATTGCTGTAGCTTGTAAACAAGTAATTAAAATCACATCATGGTAAGTATGGATTTTTTTTTTTATTGTTGTATTTAAAAAAGGCCCCTATTATTGAGCTTTTTTCAGTAGTACTACTTTCGAGATGTTGAGAAACTAAATAACATCAGCATCCACTTCTGTTTTGTGGCTCACAACCTGTGATGTTTCTTTTCTGGTTTTGTCAATTCAGTTTTGCTTCAATGCTCAACATTTTTTCAGCAAGATCTCATGTTTTTAAAAGCAAAGTGCTTGAGTGATGTGATACAAGGCATTCTTTAAGGAGTGGATGTGCCACTGAGTGAAACCAGTGGTCCATCTCGCCCAGTTGCAGCAGGAGATGCTGGTTCAGGTGTCCATGTGAACCTCCCTGCTCACTGTGGTCCATTCCCCAGCACCCAGAATTCCATACAAAGGATGTTCTTTCCAGGATGCTCTCACAGATGACAGTATGTGAAGGAACAAAGTCCCTGACTATGTAAAAATACAGTAAACCTGAATCAGCCTTATAGGTTTGATCCTGCTAAAACCAGCAGTAATGGGCAAACCTCAGATTTGGTCCCAGTCCCAAGTTTTCCTGGGCCCACTCCTGTGTGTGTTGTGGTGCTTTGTGCTGCACAGACATCTCAAACTTGTTATTGCTGTCAGTATTTATCTTAGGAAGCTACTCAAAGGTTAGTTGTGGATCCAGGTGTAGGAACTATGGAGGAATATCTGGAGGAGGAGATGTTCAGTGTAAAAATATATCACAAAATCACAGAATGGTGTGGGTTTGAAGGGACCTTAAAGCTCATCTCATTCCACCCCCTGCCATGGCCACCTTCCACTAGCCCAGGTTGCTCCAAACCCTGTCCAACCTGGCCTTGGACACTTCCAGGGATGGGGCAGCCACAGCTTCTCTGGGCAACCTGTGCCAGGGCCTACCCACCCTCATAGGGATGAATTTCTTCCTCAAATCCAACCTAAACCTACTCTCATTCAATTTGAAGCCATTGCCCCTTGTCCTGTCGCTCCAGGCTCTTGTAAATAGCGTCTCTTCCTTTCTCTTATAGGTTCCCTTAAGGTACTGGGAGGGTTAATACAGGGCAGGGTAAAAATAGATGGTATGTGGCGGGAAATCAGGACAATTTTGTTGATTTTTGTAAAAAACACAGGACAAAATGAGGGTGAGCAAAAAAGGGAATGGCTAAATAAATGTTGAGTGCCATCCTCACAACTTAGCTGTGATTCCCTCTCTCAGAGCTGTCCCTGCTGCACTAACTCCCACAGACAGAAACCCCAGTCCAGTTTTCCAATATTTCCCATGTGCCTGTCCATGCAATAGTCGAGCTGCCACCAGAGAAACAGGTAAAGCGAAAATCTCTGCACCCACCAAACCCACAGTGAAAGCAAAGTCCCTTCTGGTTTGTTTGTGACAGAGCTTTGTGTCAAACAGAGCCTTAAATCACCCTCTCCTCCTGCTGTACAACAGAGGCAGAGCCTGCTTAGCACAGACATAATTCCTAATAAAGGCTCTGAAATTATATCCCCTCTCGAAAATTCCAAAGTCAGGATATTTATCTGCCTGAACAAACATGTTTAGGGTATTTTGTTTTTCCATAAGGGCTTGAAAGGGCATTGCTCATTTAGGCTGGCAGGGTTCTGCCTCTGCAGTTGGTTGGCATTCCTGAAGGAAGGTGAATTACTTGTCTCTGTTGGATTCACTCCAGGTATCTGCAGCAAGTTTTGGTTCCCTGTTGCAACACTTCCTTGTCTAATTCACTTCCCATCAAACTAATTTGCTGACCCACAAACCTCCCCTAGTCCACAGTTATGAGTTTATAGAGTTTTCAAAGTATTGAATGGGCAAAGCACCTTGAAAATACTCCAATATGAATTTCAGGTGCAGAAGTTGATATCATATACAAGAAGAGAAAGCCAGAAAAGCTTGTTTATTTGGGAAAAGGTAAAAAAAAAAATATATATATACAATTTTCACTCAAAAATTTCCAGGAAACTCTTTTAAAAATTATTTTTTCAAACAAAAAGGTGGGTTTTTTCAAAACAGCCACTTTTGAAAGAATACAAAGTACTTCTTTATACTTTCATTGAAATCCTTCAAAAAATGCAATATTTAGAACAAAAAAAAAGCTTTTTTTTTTTTTTTTGCTAAAATTTCCCTTTTCAGCAGAAAAATGATCAGCTTTGCCTGTATCTCTGCCAATCCATCCCACCAAATGTCCCCAACCCATGGAAGCAGATAGACCGAGCCAGATTCCCAACAACTAAGATCAGGGGCATCCAACTGCAAAATAAGGAATTAAGTACATTTCCAATCTGTCATTTTTTCTGAAGACTTATATCCTGAGTAATGGCAGTGTCAGGAGGGCGTTGCCTCCGTGCCACACCGAGGAGACACGAGGCCAGGCTTTGGGACAAGAGCGGGACAAGGACTCTGGCAGGAAATAATGGGATATTCGCATTCAGTGCTCCTAGAAATCTATAATTTCTGGGTACCTGGGGCTTTGTGCAGCTCGTGCCAGGGCATCCAGCCACGGGAACAGACGGGCACGAGAGTGAGCAGATCTGACACTGTGTCCGTGTGTCGTGTGCGGTGTCGGGAACGCGGAGCCCAGCTGGGAATGCGCAGACGACGGTCTGGCCCCAATCCCTGTGTCACCGCTTTCTGAGGGTGTAAAGAGCATTTCAGCCACCTCCAGTGGTTGGCCAACAGGCAGGCAGTGAGTGAAGTCACTCTAATGAAGTCTTCACCTCCTCGTCTGTCCTCAGGTGCCCTTTTGGAGCGGGAGGAGATGAGCTCCGGTCCCTCTCCCACAGTCCGTGCCAACACACACTCAAGGAATGCAGCCTCGTGCTTTGTCCTGCTGAAGAACCCACTCACAGGGGTTCTCCAAATCAGGAAGCAGTACAGAATAGTTTTGGTCTATAATATAACCCTTAGTTAGCCCTGGAGTTTTAAAAAGGCTCAAAATCCTCTGACAAACCACAGTGTGAAGTCTCCAGCAGTGCTATCACAGGAAGCAGCTTAGTATACAACTAAAAATCTTCTTTTTTTATTTTTTTTAGCCCAACTCCTCATCTAAGCTGGGTCAAAGTCACTGGAAACATGCCCAAGGACGAACCAGAAACAGAGAATTTTGGGAAGATCCTGAAGATAGATCAAGTGTCAGCAGCTGATGAAGGGACGTACCAGTGCACGGCGAGCAACCCCATGGGGAGGGCGAAGCACGAGTTCCACGTCCACGTGGAAGGTGCTGAGTACACTTCACTGACCTTACTGATTTTGAACAGAGAGCTGGTGAAAGGGAAGGGAATAATATAATAATAATCAGCTTTTCCATATTTTATGGAAATGCTTTTCCAAATTTTATGTTTATATAATAATGATGACCTTTGCTAATATAACTCGATGTCATGTGTGAATTGCACGACACTATTTAATTTTTGATACCTAATTTAATTTTGGTCTCTTAAATTTGGGAAGGTTGCAGAAAGTAGCAACTCTAAAAAAAAAAATATGTGTATATATATATAAGTAATGCATCTTTTTTCCTGAACCATGAAGGCCTTACAAAGTGGTGAACAGGAGTACAAATACGTGAGCAGATTCAATATTCTAAAGATGTGAGTTAGTCAAGCAGAGATATTGATGAAATGTCTTGTATTAATCTGAGTGTCAGACAAAAAGATCTAATTGTTCCCCTTGCCCTTAAAGACTGAAAATGGCTACTCTGGGCTGGATCAGAGGGACATTTAGCTCAGTTCTCTTTCTTTGGCTTCCTCCAAAGTGAGTTCCTAGGAAGGGCTGTAAAATTGCAGTGAGCAGACATGGTATCAGCCCTCTCCTCCCCTCCTTCCTGTGCTCTCTTGCTGTGAATTTGTGTAGGGACAACCTGAGCTAAGAGTGGTTTCTATAATCCTTGAAAAGCATCATAAAAATTTGTGAAACAAAGTAAAACAAATATTTTCTACTAATTGTGAACAGAATCATTTAGGTTGGAAAAGAGCTCTAAGATCATAGGGTCCAACCTGTGAACAATCCACCACCACCTCCTCAACAGTTTTAAAAAATTGTAGTATGATCTTTTTTGTCATCCCACTGAGTATCCAAGGCCTGTTCCCACCCCACCTGCTTGCTTGGAAGGATGACCAATATTAGCAGCGTTCATAAATAGTTTTAGGGTTCCACTTGTGCTCGTCATACCCTTGTGTGAGGGGTGGTGAGTCTCTGTGCATGATCACACACAGGTCTGGTGGCTGATCCAGGTGAGGGCTGGCTGCTTGTGCTTGTGCAAAACAGAGAACCTGCTGTGTTTGTGCAAGATTTGCTCGTCATTTATTTATGGTGCTCGAGAAGGTGGTAGATTAACAAAGCCAGCCAAGATCCCTTCATCCCAGGCATCTTGCAGAGTGCAGATAGAGGTGTGTGGCTCCATCCCCCTTCCTCCTCCTCCCCAAATTCTGAAGGTGTGAGCCCTTCACACAAGGCAGATGTAGATGCTCTTTCCCAGGAGCCAAGCAGAGTTCTGGTGAGACTTAGAAAAGACAAACAAGACCTGCAGACCCCTCCCAGCCACTGCAGCTTCTGCCCAGGAATAGCTGCAGAATGAGAATCCTGAAGCACAGCTGAAAAACTCCCCGAGAACATTTTACTGGTGAGAAATTTTCCACCCTCTGCTCTGCAGAGTCAAAAAATGAAATAAATAACCAGCAGGATTATCTGTCAGAGTCTGCCAACAGCTTCATTTTCATCTGGGCTTCTTCTCACTCCCTGGTCACAAGGAGTCACAATGATGGGAGGAAAGGCACTTTCAACCCCTGCTCTGTATTTACTCATCAGCTGAGGAAAAGCCTTTTCTCCCAGTGTGTGATGAATCATTCCCATCCACTTGACACAACCTCGTGCCTCACAGCCTTATTTCCTTCCCTGGAAGTGTGGCAGAGGGGGATACCAGGGCATGGCAAGTTTTCAGCTGTGATAGAGGGGAAGTGCTGACTCCCAGAAATCATTCCAGATGGTTTGGAGCATCTCTGCTGTAGCTGAATATTTTAACAATCTGGTGATGATTTTCTCAGCTGTAAAAAAAAAATCGATTCCTTCAAAGAAATTGCAGGAGCTGCAAAAACTAAAATACCAGAGAAATAACATTAATTTAGCAGTTTAGGATTTTGACCTCTATCTCTCCCGGTCTCTAGGGGAAGGAAAACTTTCTGGCAAATTTTTATTAACAAACAAGTACTTAGGAAAGTAAAAGAAGGAAATAATCCCACTCCAGCCATTGCTGTTAAATTCATTTTCCATGTGTGTAACTAATGATGACTACTGTCACCTGCAGGAATTCTTCCTATTAGGAGTCACCTCACAACCAAGGTATCAAGGTAAAAATGAGCCCAAACATTGTTGTCTTCTCCAATTCCTAACCAGCAAATGTCACTGTCATTAATCAGAGATGGACACGTTCATCATTCTTGCAGGAGCTCCTGTGAGCACACTCAAGGGCAGATCCTGAGCTCTGGAGTTGAGCATTAATTTCAGTTGGCTTCAGGGAGGTTGTGCTGACTTAGGGCTTCCTCACGTCTGACAGGCTCCTCTCGAAGGGAAAAGAAAATTAAACATGGAGGAAAAATTATCTATTATTAACCACCAACCATCCTCAGTGTAGTGCTGGTGTGTAAATCAGGATTTACTGCCATGTTTTTTGTTCTTCTTTCTGGCATTTGAGGATCTCAAACCAGTGCCCCATCTTTCTAAATAACAATTTTACTGATATTTGCATGCAGCCCACTTACTAATCCTACTGAGTCTGGGAGCAAAGATTCAGGTAATTATTACCAAGCATATGAAAATATTCAGCAAGCAAATTGCTTGACTCTTTGAGCATTTTAATCTCTCTTTGCAAGGGAAGCTGTAACCTGAACATCAGAGCAGGCACAAAACCCTCACTGTTGTTATTAGAATGAGAGACAATGATTTAAAAAAATAGCAAAGCAAGCCCACAAATTGTTTGACTTCAAATGTTTATTTGGTTATTGTTTATAGTCCACCAAACCCAACAGCAAATGTACATATAACCTCAAAATCTTGCAGTATCATAATGCCTGAGCTAGTGTTACCTTGATCTCGATTGAGGCTCCTAGATGGTGTTTAATAGAAATAATTATTACAATATAATGCTTATTTTAGTAATGATACAATAGCTAAGGGCCTTTGCAGTTGTGTCTTGCAGTAGTACTTGTCTCTAGTATTCAGATAGAGAAAAGGAAAATAGATGAAATTAATGTGAGGCAGAACGAGGACTGGGTGTTTTAACTGGGTTCAAATTGTATTTCTGTGTTTCACTGGAAAGCTGCTCCAACAGGATGCAGAGCCCAGGGTGGTACCTGCAGCTGAAGGTGCTGCTGATGCCCCCAAAGTGGGATGGATTGGCAGCCTTTGGGGAGATGTGAGGAGAATTTGAAAGGATCTTGACAAATTGGGAGAGTGGTCTGGAATAAGAAGGATGGGCTTCAGTGAGCACGAGTGCAGAGCAATTCTCCCCAGGCAGCACTAATTGGCTTCATCAGCACAGGGTGGGAAATGTCTGGTTAGGGTGGTTGGGAGGAGGTGCTGGATGGAGAGCTGAACGTGGCTGGGAAATGTTAGTCTGGCAGAAAAGGCAAAAATCATCCTGGAAAGTATGAAGAAAAGTGGTGTTGTAAGAAGAACTACTGAGAACTGATAAGGCCTCACCTAATGTAAGGAATTTTACATCACGAATTTCATCAAGGCTGGAGTTAACTGAGGCATTTCAGAAGGCAGCAAGAACCCACACAGAACCCAAAATCATGGCATTTGAGGAAAAAAACCAGATATGTTTAATTTGGTAAAAAAATAAATCTGGGGAGTGCATAAGAGCATTCAGATGAATAGAAGTTTCTTCACAAAGTTTCCTGGGGATGATGTAAGATACAATATGTTAAACTGCAGCAAGGCAGATGTTGGTTAGATGTTCCAAATTTGTTCTGGTCCTGGGGAAAAGCACAGTGCTGCCACAGCATGGGAGGCTGAGGGGAAGGTCTGGATCCATTTTGGGTGTTTTAGGTGTAGATGATCCTGCTCTGTTGCAGCAGGATGGACTAAATGCCCGTTTTAGATCCCTTTCATGTTTGAACCTGTCAGTATTTTCTATAAAGACCTAAATCTCTAAATCAGGAGGCTCACTTTGATAACACTCACCAAGAAAATGCAGGAAAAATTTGCCACTCCCTGTTGCTCACACAGATTAACTCTTTGACTCTTCGACCACTGGATTTTGTAGTTTCTAAAAATATGTGTGTCTTTTGTTATTCTTCTACTTTGTATACTTATAAGTAGTGCACCATATCTGCCACATGGAAAAGAGGTTCTTCAGCCTTTCTGTGAAATTCCATTTCATACTTGGCAAAATCTCATTGCCTCTGACTTCACAGCTGCATCACATCCTTGGGGCACCCACAGCAATTCCCATGCTGAGAAAGGAAAGAGAGGCATCATGCACATGCACAGATGGAAATGGGAAGGGATGCATCAGGTGGTTTGTATTCAGGCTGTGCTTGGTGTCCCCTCCTCCAAAACACAGAAATATCCTAACACAAGTACTGAGTTTGTGGCAGACTTAAAGGAAAAATTCCAAACCAACAGTTTAATCAGTACTGCCACAAACCTTTTCACCTCCGTGCCTTTAACCTGTCTTTTCCTGAGGAAAGCATGATGTATGTGAGGGAGAGAAGGAAAAAGATCTGCAAGACCAAAATGTTCTGTTGTTTGCAAGAGTTTTTTTCCTGGAGTCAAATACCAGGAAGCAAAACAAATGTGGTCATGTCAGTCTGGGTGTGAGGAAGGTAAGAAACCTGTCCTGTGTGAAGGAAATGGGAAGATCTTATCATTGTAGATAAGCTTCAGTATCTTGGGGTTTACTTGAGTCTTTATATGTTGATGAACAATGTCTCTTCAGGTGGAAGTGCTGGGCTGGGTGTGGAAGTGTATCATCACACTTCAGAGGTGGTTTTTTAATATCTGTGTGAATATGAGCAGTGATGCTTTGTCTTAGCTTATCACACTGATAACATCTGGAGTTGTATTACCAGGCAACAGCTCTGCTCATCTTCAAAGTGTTTTCTGAGCATTAGCTAGCAGATCCAAGTGTTTCCCAGGCATTAGCTCACCTGTTTCAAATAGGGAAAGAGGTGCCATGACCTGCCAAGCACATGCAGAAGAGGTAGTGTCAGGTCTGGTATTGAAATCTGGAAGTTTCTTGCTTTTCAGGGGGAGATAATGATGAATTCAAGGTTGTGTTTTGGACTGAGGCTGCCCACTGAAGTGTAGGCAGGCTCAGGGACCTGCATTCAGTCAGTGGAGAATGAAGCATTTATCAGATAAAGGCTCTTTTTCTGCCTTTCAGTTTCCTTCCCTCCCTTTTGGATGTGTTTTTCCGACAGGGTTTGGGTACCTGAAGCTGACGGGCTGCTCACACGGCAGCAGCACACACGGCTGCTCCTCTACCACCACCCTGTGGGCAACAGTTCTGCACCCAAACCTTCTCTCATCCTCAGAATGAGAGAATGTTTCATCATTCCTAAACGTGCTTCGGGCCAGCCTCTGATCTGAATAGAGGATGGAAAATCAGAATATTGAAGTGACAGTACACAGCACAGCTGGAAGAGCAGGTGGAGGTGCTAAATCCTGTCGTGGAACTCCTTCCACTTCTGGGCAAGGCAGTGGGAGACACTTTCTCGTGCCCAGAGAGGGGCATTTGCATCTTGTCTGCGTTGCTGAAATAATCTCAGCTCATTTCCCAGCCCACAGTCTGAGGGTCCTTATGGAAATGCTGACCCATCCCAGGGTCCCTGCTTCCCAGCCTCTCGCCTCCCATTTGCATTTGTTTTCCACCTGGATAAACACTGCCCGTTTCCACACTCTCCCTGACACTCACAGAGTCTGAAGGACAGAACCGATGCGTGCTGATGCTAATTTTACCTTTCCTGACATCGCTTTGCATTGAATCCAGTTCAGCTGCGGGACGGGCTGCCAAGTGTTGGCAGCGTTTGCCATCTCCTGGAGGACCGCGGCAACAGCAGAGTCAGACTCCTGCGGCTGTGACACTGATCCCTGCTCTGTCCCCTCTTTCCAGAGCCTCCCCAGTGGCTGAAGAAGCCCGAAGGTGGTGTCTACAGCGTGGGAACGAACCTCGTGCTGCTGTGTGAGGCGATTGGCAACCCGGAGCCGAGCATCCAGTGGAAACTCAACGGGATGCCCATCGACAGTACGTGCAAATCCAGTGTGGGGCTGGCCCAGGGGCTGGCTGGGTGACATGAGCCTGTGTGGCACCCACTCAGAGGGAACCCACAAATCCTAACACACTGGATGATGTCTGACTCGAATCTATGTAGATATTAATTAATATTTATTTACTTCAGAAGCTAATATTTAAATGTGATCTTGAAGGGAACGCAGTACGGTGTGGAGCAGTGGCACCTGAGAGGTGCTGCCTCTGCCTCACCCCATAATCTTTTGGGGATCTGGACAGCTTATGTTCATTGAGGTCTCCTCCTCTTTCTTTGTGCTTCTGAATGAGCCCAAGTGGCTGTGGAGCACGGGCCCTGCTCCCTGGTGTAGCAGTATTATTACTCCTGGTGTAGCAGTATTGTTACTCCTGGTGTAGCAGTTTTATTACTCCTGGTATAGCAGTATTATTACTACCATTTTGAAAAGTCTGATTGGAGCACTTTCTGGAGCACTTTCTTCAGGACTGCTGGCAAAGGCAGTGCTCTGCAACTCGCCCTCTGGCTGTTGAACAAGGTTCTGGTTTGATCCCCTTATTTCACAGAATATTCTGAGTTGGAAGAGACTCACAAGGATCATCAAGTCCAAGTGAAATCTTAAGTGAAGGGTCCATACAGGGATCAAACCCACAGCCTTGGTGTTAGTAGCACTGTGCTCTAACCAGTCTCAGGCTTATCCTGAAGATGTGCTTTGCCTTTGACTTTCAAGCAGTGAGGAGGGACTATGAACTCCACAGTCATGGTGTTTTCTCCAGCTCCTGACATAATTTGGGTTTTTCCAGGCAGGACCTTCAGAGGGAGGATCTCCACCCGGGAGATCAGCCTGACCAACCTGCAGCTGCAGGACAGTGCTGTGTTCCAGTGTGAAGCCACCAACAAGCACGGCACCATCCTGGCCAGTGCCAACGTGAATGTCCTCAGTGAGTGCCCCCTTCTTCTTCATGGCAAAAGATCTGACAACCCCAGGGTCCCATTCTCATGACTGAATCCTCAGGACAGCTTGGAGCTTGTAACCATGTCACAGTTCCTTGCACTGCCCCCAGATTTTAGGAATTACTTTAACCAAGTTAATGTAACAAGTCTTATAATGGGCAATATTATATTAACAGAGAGACTCATGAGCTTTGATATACTCTTTATTTCAAAAACATACTTGGGCTCAAAAATTTTTGAATTCAAACCGCTGGGGGCTGAATTGTGACCACAACTCTATTATTTAATTATTAAGTGTACTGTTAATCTTTAATTTCAATTGTGATTCCCAGACTGTTCTTTGGAGAAAGGGAGTGATGGGGATTTATTTAATACAAAACATCCCTAAAGGAACAGAACTGGATCTGTTTTGTCTCATGGTGACATTTCTGACATTTCTAACATGTCCAGCAGGCAACTGGAAGCTTCTGAGAACTCAGTTGCTCAGTGCAACTGGTTCCAAAAGGCAGGGAAATTCCCATGAAGTGCCTCAGCATTTGCCCTTTGCTGGAAAAGTGGATGATGCACAGACAATATTTGTATTCCCAGTTGTGAAATCCAGTGCTTCTCACCTTGCATTCTCTTCTGCAGATATTGCTCCCTTAATCCTGACCTCAGATGGGGAAAACTATGCTACAGTGGTGGGTTACAGTGCCTTCCTGCACTGTGACATTTTTGCCTCACCTGCAGCAGATGTCAGATGGTAAGATACTGGAAGGTGATGTTTTCATGTGAAACAAGTTCATTACGGGCTCACCAAACACTGAAAAATCTGTCAGTCATTTCTATAGAGTTAAGATTAGAAATTTGTAACAAAACTGTATACAGATATAAGTTTCTTGTGTTCAAATACACTTCTAAGAACCCTGAGGAATTGGTTTATAAAAAGGGTTAATGAAAATCCTCAATACCTGTGTGAGACAAGTGCTGGGATATTTGTTAAGCCAAGCCATGCTGTAGTAGCCAAATCCTGCTACTAATCCTTAGATTAATGTTGGCAACTTTTTAAGTTTGGGCACATTATTGAGGTGGAAACACAGTGACTTACAGAACATATTTAGCTGGACCCGGTTTCATAGGGTTGGAAATCACGGGATTGTCACAGCACTTGGCAGATACAGTAAAATTGCAGATGGCAGCTATAGATGAAAGACAGAGTAGTTTAAAGACCTTTTTAGATGCTCTCAGTGTGGTTTTGGTTTGCAGGACACTTGTCAGAGGTTCATAGAATAGTTTGGGTTGAAAGGGAATTAAAGATCATCTCATTACACCCCTTGCCATGGGCAGGGACACCTTCCACTAGCCCAGGTAGCTCCAAGCCCTGTCCAGCCTGGCCTTGGACACTTCCAGGGATGGGGCAGCCACAGCTTCTCTGGGCAACCTGTGCCAGGGCCTCCCCACCCTCATAGCCAAGAATTTCTTCCTGATACCTAATCTAGACCCTAACCACGACTTTAATTGCTCAGAGGCAGAGCTGAGACCCAAAATTCCCGTGTCCCCTGCAATAACTCCATGAAATAACAGTTCCTGCAGCCCTAGAAATAAGCCAACCCTATTGTTCTGATCTTTAGGACCAAGGATGACAGCATAGAGCCCCTCTCAACGTTCCGCTATGAGTTAAATAAGAATGGAACCCTGGAGATCAAAGACACAAAGAAGGAAGACTCAGGATCTTATGCTTGCTGGGCTGCAAATTCTGTTGGGAAAAGAGCAATCACTGCTAATTTGGATATAAGAGGTAAAGGCTCACTCGTGAACAGAAAAACCTTTCACAACTGCTAAGGTTTTACATTTACAAATGTTCAGTGAATAAATAATTAGTAAATGTTCAGTCCAGGGTACAGATTTATTCTGTGAATCTAGAAATTCTCTGGGTACTGTGACCTGAAATTGCCAGAGGTCTCATATACATGTAGCCTTTAATATTGTCCCCAAGTTTCTGTTGGATTTTTCCATGCTTATACATGATGTCCACTTTCTTCTTGACACTTGCAGAAGCTGCATAAGCCACCAAAAATTTGCGGTTTTCATTCCATGTCCATTATCTTCATTATTTTGAAAGGATTTTCCCTCCTTTTTGCCATGGGTGCTGTTACAGAGCAGGTTCTTGGCTGACCCTTGGGAGCCCAGAGCCCTCCCTGTGCTCGTGGCTTGGTGGGGTCCTTGCTGAGCCAGACAGGGCTCCTGCTTTTCCCACAGCCTTGGGATTCCTCCTTCCTAAAGCCACTTCCCATTTCCTTCCCTAAAGCCACTTCCCATCTCCTTCCCTAAAGCCATTTCCCATTTGTGGGTCAGAAGGAACATCCCAAAGTGAATTAAATTCCGCTGTGGACACCAAGCACGTGCAGCAGGATGAGTTGTGGGTGCTGCTGGTTTAAGGACTCTGCACTGGGCTTTTGCCTGTTTGTTGATAAATATTGGTAAATAAAGCAAAACAAAAAAATATTACTGAAATGTGCTTACTTATAAATTTTAGATCCATTCCTTGTGCTCCAGTTCTGTTTTAAGGGATTTTTATGGTGGGTTGGCAGCAAACAGCTTCTGTTCAGCACACAGTGGGTTTTATACAAATTTACTTAGGATTTAGGTCTTGCCAATAAAAAAAACCCCTTAAATACTGAATTAGCAAAGTCCTCCAAAGGACTCTCCAGTGCAGGGTTTGCTGTGACAAACTTGAAGAAAAAAGCCCCCTCTTTTTGTGTTGTATTTCCACCCACTCCCTTTGCTTTGTAAATTTTACAGTGCTAATAAACGTGAAAATGTACAATGAAATTCTCACAGGGCAACGTTTCTCTGCAAATATAAATTCTACTAAGTGCCTTCTCCTTACTTATTCATCTGTTTCTGCATTTGGATTACAGTCAATTAAAAGAACAAACTTGATTGCAATAATTTTTTCTCACTTGACTTTAATAAGCTTGTAATTTTTCTTGGATCATTGCCAAAGCTTATTTCAAATGGCAATTAGACATAAAAATCATATTCAAGCCTTTTTATTTTTTTTTTTATCATCCATTTCATGACAGTCTGCTAACAAGGATTTTCACCTGTGACTTTTTATTTTGTGGATTTTTTTTTTTTTCTGGAGCTCTTTGGATTAGAGTGAACTGAAAAACAATTTGAGGCAAAAAATTAAATCCTGGCAAATACCTATTTCAAAACAAACCATCCTCCCCTTGAAGTGTGTGTATACATAACAAAAAAAAAAAAAAAAAAAAAGAGGCATGATTGTTGCTCCTAAGGTTGATTTTTACATATGAAGTGTGTGGTGAAAATTTGATATAATAGTCGCGCTCTCTCTCCTAATCAAAGTGTTTTTCTGTGATCAATCAGATGCTACAAAACTTGTTGTTACTCCCAAGAACGCCCGAGTGCTGAAATCACATTCAATTTTATTGAAATGTCAGGCTGAGTATGATTCCCACTTGAAACACAGTTTTAAATTATCCTGGAGGAAAGATGGAGATGAGCTGCCAGTCAACAGCACGGAAGGTGGCAGGTGAGTGGGGAGGGAACAGGGCTCTTCTCATCTCAGCTGGGTAATGGGATGTGGGGCTGCAACACCAGATTCCTTAAACCAGGAGCCTTAATAGCTTGAAATGCAAATTCAGGCCTGCAAGAATTCTTCCTGTGGTGTGTGAATAGATCTGCATTTTATACATATATACATATAAATGCAACTGTAGGAGTTACCACGGATGGGAAGTGATTTGGGGGGTTATTAACTCTTTCATCATCACAGCAGAATATAACGTTATATTTTATATCACTATATTTATATGGATATATCTATATAATAATATATCTCTATATCTACCTATAACTGTATATCCATATGTATCTATTTATATCTATCTATTTATCTCTTATCTATCTATCTATCCATCCATCTATCTATCTAATATAGATAATTTATATATAATATAATTGTTGGTTCAACCCAAGAAGCCCCAAGGAAGTCAGCTATGGAGTTGTTTCTCCACTTCATTGGAACTATTATTTTTTTGTATTTTACACCTCTTTGTCCAAAGCAAAGTCCTTCTAATGTTGAAGTGAATGGAAAAATCTGAGATTCTGCCTAAAATCCTACACATTAAAAGTGATGAGTTTGTCCTATATGTAAGTTTAGGACTTGCAAGCCCAGGTTGAGTTTTGCCCCATTTTTTGTGTTTCCATTGTCCTCAAGGGGGTGGAGCTCAGCCTTTATAGGAGTGGTCCTACAGTGGTTAATCAGGTGTCTTCATTAACTACCACAGCAGAGAAGTGGTTTCCTAAACACTGCAGTGCTGGAGAGGTTGGAGATCCTGCTGAGCCCACATAGGGTGGGGAGGGAGTGCCAGGAGATTTCCATGTCTGCTGTGGAGCCCACTTACCTGGGATAATGCCAACTTCCCCTGGGCATTGGACATTACACAAGTGGGTTGGGAATGCCCAGTTTTACTCAACCCTTCCAAAAATTCCAACACAAAGACCACATATTTGCCTCATTAATGACCTGCCAAAATCCCATGATTCAGACACTCATCCCGTGCATACCAATGGGGTTCTTTTCAGACCAGGATTGACACATCAACTTCCAGCCATGGAGGCTAAATTGCTACAAAATACAAATAGTAGTCCCCAGTACAGTGTATAATACAACTACAATTCTGTTTAAATTAATAGTCCTGATGTGCAGTTATGTTATTCAGCATGTCCCGTTACCAAGTGTTTTTAGGAACAGTTTTTCAGAGAACAGTGGTGTCAGTCTGTCATATTTGTCTTACAGATTTTTTTTTTCATCCCTTGTTTTTCTTTGGCCCCTCAGGATGATTCTGGACAGGGACACACTGTTCATCTCCAGTGTGCTGCTGGAGGATCAAGGAGTTTACACGTGTGTGGGCAGCACTTCCCTGGACTCTGCCACGGCCGAGTCACGGCTGATTGTTCTTGGTAAGGGCTGATTTCCCTGGTGCTCAAACAGCTCCAAATGCCATTGCAGCACTTCTGCTTCTTTCCTTCTCTTGTCCAGTTCAGTTAGAAAGCCTCAATAACCAATTTCACAGCCTCTCGCTCCTTAACCCCAGCTGTGCTCTCCCTCTACCTCCAGGAATGCTGACACAAACTTTATTTATTATTTATTTAATCTTTGTTATAGGAAGATGAGGCAGCATTTTTTTCTCAGTTCAGGAGTCCCCCACAGTGGCTGTAGGGGGGCAGCCCAGGCTGGAAGGTGTAACAGCATACTGAGAATGGCTCTGCTCTGCTTTGAAGTCCTTGCTCAGTCCTTCATCTCATTTTACTGGAAATCTGCACAATAACTGAACTATTTTTGGAAGAAGAAGGACTTAAGGCCAGTATTTAGTTGTCCAGCTCCTCTGAAGATCAGTGGAAGTTAAGCACCTAAAAGGATTAATTATCTCTGTGAATCAGAACGCGAATTCTTGTCCAGTGGCAAATAGCAAGTCCACAGCAGAGAAAAGCCTTGACCCACTGGGTCTGAAACCTGACCTTGTGTGAGCCTCCTTCCAACCTGCCTCCCTTCCTGAAGGGCTACTTGGAATTCGGGGGGTGAACTTGTGGAGTGCTGTGTATCCCATTGCACAGGTACCCAAGGGCATCACCCGATAACTAAAATTTAGTGGATGGTCTTGCATCATTTTAATCGCATTAATTCTTGCTCCATTTTACATTTTTATTTATTTCTGGCAGAGATTGCGACAAGAAATAAGTCAATCTGACCTTCAGGATGTTTTTGCATTTTAAAGGCGTGATATTTTTCGGTAAATAGTAAATTAAGAAGATGCTGTGCACATTATTTATGGTACTGGCTTCTTCAGTGCTCTATAATTCAAAATGTTTGTAGGCTATTCGTTACATTACTTATGAAAATTTCATAAAGCACTTTATTCCTGTTTAAAAAGCTGGTTTGCAGAAGAAGAAAAAGAGTTTTGTGCTCTTTTCTCCTTGTTTATTGTGTATGAGAAAGGTCTTGGTGGCTTAACAATATCTGTTACTTTTCAAATGAAAAATTCAGGTTTCTTTTGCAATGAAAGACTTGTGAGATGACTAAAGAACTAAATATGGCACAGATGGAGACATCAGAATATGGGCAACTAAGAGCAAAAAAATATGCAGTTAGAATATTTCTAAATATTTGTTGTATATTTTATGAACAGGTAGCAGACTGAGTATCTTTAAGATGCACCATCAGCATCTTTAAATTAATATACTGAATTTTAAATGGATATGCTCCAAGAATAGAACAGCAAAATTCTTGGAGATTTAACTGTGTTTTCCTGATTTTTCCCGGGTATTACAGAAATAGAGGAAAGAAATGCAGAGAAAAGTAAAACAACAAAAAAACCCCAACCCAAATATAAAAGTTCTTAACTTAAAATATAAAGTTCTTAACTTTTTGATGTACCCTGAGATAAACAAAGAATCATAGAATTGTTTAGATTGGGAAAGACCTCAAAGGCCATTGAATCCAGATGTTAACCATGTCCACAAGTGCCACATCCACACATCTTTTGAAGACCACCAGACGTGGTGACTCCATCCCTTTGCAAAACAAGAAAACACAATATTATTATTTTAATAACTCTGTACAAGCACAGTGAATTTTTTTCACAATGACAGAGACAGTCTGTGGTTGAAGGAACTGGTTTTCCTGTGAGAAATGACATTGTCAGGCAAAAATTTAGTTGAGAATTGGGGTGGAGGCAGGTCAAAGACCTGAAGTTGTGCAATCACGTTTCCTTGGTCTGCACATTTTTTAGGTGTTGAAACACCAGCCCAGTTTAAGGGGGGAGTGTGTGGGGGACTTTGGGAGGGTGAGAGGTCACCACCAACCTCCAGCAGAGAGAAATTACTCTTTTACATCACATTCCAGTTACCAAACTAATCCAAAACAATCAGACTGTCAGAGCAAACCATGAGGCAGACAACCATCTGTCAGTCTGAAACTGTTGGATTTGGGAATGGTCGTTCAGTTACAAGAATTTTGGCAAAAGGAGGTGTTGGAGATGTGTGTTCTCCTTGCTGTATCCAAGGTCTGCGAGGGGGAGCAGCATCTTTTGGTCATTTTGGCACCCATGTCCCTATAAAGTGATCTCTGGCAGCAGGTAGTTTTATGTTTGGGGCTTCTGTAGCCCCAAACTTGTCCCCTGGAGGTTCACTACACTTGTCACACCCACCACCACCTCTGCCTGTGATATATTCTCTGGATGGCATTAGTAGAGCTGGCAGGTAATTAATTTTCTTGTTTCTTATTAATATAGCCCCCTATGGCTGGGTTAATGAATGTTATCCCTTCACTCATACCCTAAAAGGCCAAGTTCAATAACTGTCAGAGCTGAGTCACCTTCTCCCACTCTGGTTTGCTCCAGAGGAAATCCAAGTGCTGCTGATATAAGTTCCTGCTGAGAGCAGCGTCAATATCTGTTAATGATTAAATAGATCTTGGTGTTGATTTGGAAAGAAAACTCTCTTGCTGCAAGCACAGTAATGAGAGTAGATGGGAATGAACTTGAGAAGGATATTGTTTTTATAAAGGAAAAGTCAGGACCAGAATCCCAGAATGTGCTGAGTTGGGAAGGGACCCACAAGGAGCATCGAGTCCAACCCTCAGCCCTGCACAGGCCCATCCCCAAGGGTCACACCCTGTGCCCCAGAGCATCATCCAAACCCTCCTGGAGCTCTGGCAGCCTTGGGGCTGTGCCCACTGCCCTGGGGAGCCTGGTCAGAGCCCAACCACCCTCTGGGGGAAGAACCTTTCCCTAATATCCAACCTAAACCTCCCCTGAGACAACTTCAAGCCGTTCCCTGGGTCCTGAAGATTCCACCTGGCTGTCTGTAATAAAAAACATTTTCAAAAGCAGTTCCTGCTTTCCTCATTGTGTCCATTTTGAAATCAAAGGCTGTTTTACCACCACCTTCACTGAACTCTCCAGTCCTTTGGAAAACGTTAAGAAAGCAGAAGCAGCTTGCTGTGCTCCTGACACTTCTTTGTTCTTTCTCAGATGTTCCTGATCCACCAGAAGACCTTCAGCTCTCTGAAAACCAGAACCGAAGTGTTCGACTGTCCTGGAGAGCTGGGTCCAGCCACAACAGCCCTGTCAATGGTAGGAAGGGATTTTTAGCATCCTCTTGTGCTGTTCCTCATTCTGGCACAGCGTGGCTGTTCAAAGAAACCAACCCAGCTCACAACCCTCCTTAATCCATTTGACTACGACAGTTAATTTGTTTAAGCTGTTATAAGACATTTCTAAGCTGTTCATACAAGTTCTGCCTTTTTTCTTCTGTTTTTTTGTTGCTTTTCCTGCCCAGAGTCCATCATAGAGTTTGAAGAGAACCGCTGGGAGCCAGGGAGGTGGCAGGAGCTCACCAGAATCCCCGGGGATGACACCACAGCCCTGTTGTCCCTGGCCCCGTACGTGAATTACCAGTTCCGCGTCGTGTCCGTGAACGCCGTGGGGAGGAGCCAGCCCAGCAAACCATCCCTGCGCTACTCAACACCCCCAGCTGGTAAAAAATCCTCTCTAATGTATATTACCATTTTTCGTGTTGTTTTAGCGTTTTCTGTGCCCTCCTCTGTGCTTCAGAGGGGTGAAGAAATCAAGGTCACTCGTGCTGCTCTCGGTGGCAGCTCAAAGGATTATTAAAAGTAGGTTATGTGGTGGGAAACACCCCCAACTGGTCCAGTGGCCTGAAATAACCCTCAGCATGTTTGGGGGGGCAGGTTACCGCTTTCATTAACTTTATTAATGAAAGTAGCACGTTTTCAGGGAAATTAAATCAACTGAGGGACGTCTCATGACAAACCATTGTCATACATCTGCTATTTTATAAATGAATGTTAATTAGATGGGAACCATGCTGGGATGAATTCTTCAGTGATTGGTAAAAACAGAGCAACCCAGCAGTTGCACATTAAGTGTCCAGGCTTGTAGTTTCAAGCATTTGGTGTGTAGTTAGAACAAATCTAAATTTTAATGACCCAACTTGCTATGCTACATAAAATTCCAGAGGGTACCAGAGGGAAGAGTCCAGGTTGCTGTGTTTTTCCTACCTCTAGCACCCCACTCTGCTGATTTTCCACCTTTGAAGCCCTTGGCAGCCCTTCATGGACAAGCTGCTGGAGAAGAGCTGGTTTTACAGGGAGCCTTTCAGCAGCACTGAGCTTGTCAAAACTCTCCATTCACAGAGCATTTCACTGTGGCAGAAAATGTTGTCTCCCTGCACATCATTTTTGAAGCCAACTGTTCAGCTCAGCATTTGCATTCCTTGGCATTTCTCTTTTTTTTTTTTTTATCCCCCTTTACTTTTATTTCAGGTCCTTCTTCAGCTTCTCAGCTGAGTGTGTCCCCACAGGGAGAGAAATCTCGTCCTCACAATCCCCCTACATCTGGTGCTTTCCAATCCAAAAGTCACAGTTCCACGTTAGCTGATGGCTCCAACCAACGGGGCCACTTAGGAATCAAAACTGCATAAACAATGTGTTTCGGTCACGTCAGCTCTGCTGATTCAAGTAATTAATCTCACAAGTGGTTTTTTTGTTTAGGTGTCTTTCCCTAAGAGAGATGTAAGAAATGCTTTTGGATGCTTGTTTTGCATTTAAATGCTAAATGCAAATAAACCCCAGGATATGCAAACTAACCTTGTCACCTGTGTGGTTTCAGCTCCAGACAAGAACCCAGAAAACATCCGAGTCGAGGCTTCTGAACCCAATGAAATGGTGATGAAATGGGAGGTAAGGAAAACATGTCTGTAAATGCTACAATATTGGAAACAGGTTCCATCTTCAAGCATCAGTTTCTGAAGCAGCATGGAATTTATCATGTTATGTTGTTCCTTGCTGGAATATAATTACATTTTTTAAAAAAATAGTGGATCCCTTTATTCTCCTTAATGGACTTTGTCTCCCCTTCTCCTACCCCTGTTTTCTAGGAAATAGTAGCAAATTCTATAGGTGGAATCCTTTACTCTTCTGAAGCCAAAGGTAAATCTGTCACTGGCTTAAATGTGTTCTGGATTTTCTCCCCCAGCATCACTTTTGTTTCAAAAGACAGTTTTTTATGTCTAACTTCACCAGATATTAAAAAAATATAGTGATTCTATAAAACACCTTGAGAATCCCACAAAATTTGCTCATCTCTGCTTCTGGTACACTAGAAAGTGCTTCAAATAACTGTGGTCTTATCCTGCTCTGCAGGATGAGCAGCCAGGCCCAGGGAGGGGATGGGTGACTTATGGCTTCTGCCCTGCCAGCCTGGAGGTTAAAAAATGCCACAGATCTCTTGTCCAAGAGAATGAGCTTGAATTTTTACACCAAGAGCTAAAGGACTGTGGATGAAGCCCGAAAGCATATGATGTGCATCAAAGGAACTGTGTAAAAGTCTTGAGGATGGTTTCCAGTCTTCAAATTTCCTGGGTTTCGAGCTTACAGGTTCTGTGCCAACAGTTGGGAGGGTTACATATGCCTTCATTTAACACAAATTTCCACCAGTGTGGAAGGAAACATATCTTTGTTGTGGCTGGAATTACACACAATTTACATGAGATTTATTTTTCAATCTGCTGCTCACAGTGAGGAACAATAAATGTTTACCCGGTGTGAACTTCAGGTTTAGGCTGTAATTGCATCCAAAAGGAGATGGTCCTCTCTCCATTGGCTTGGATTTGAATGGGATTTTTGCTGTGTGACACAGCCCAGGGTCAGGAGGGACAATCCCACCTCTCAGAAAAGGTTGGACTTGATGACCTTGGAGGTTTTTTCCAACCTTAAGGATTTGGAGTGGTAACACCCAGTATTTTTACTGGGAAATGCTGGTATGACTTCATTGAACAGAAGCAAGTTCTGCTCCTCTCTGGGAAGCGTTTGATCACTGCTCAGACTGGGCAAAAGTGGAAGTGAAAGCTGAGACTGAAGGCAGAGAATGGGCTGGAAAGGCTTTGTTAAATCTTGTTGAATCATTAAAATGCTGTAAACAGGATATTCATTTATTTATGGCGTTTCCTGTGTGCTTTTCAGAGGAACTGCTGGGCACTGAACATGCTATTTCTGACAGACAAAAACTGCAAAATGATGTTAATCTGCCTATTTTTGGATTAAGAGACCAGCTGAGCATTAGTGTCTACATTTTCAGCCACGGATTTGCAGCATTAAGGGAGATCAAAATACGAGTCAAGCAGTGCTTCAATTTAGCTCTAAACAAGAAGTAATATTTTAGTAGGAATTTTTTACTTCTTCAGCTTCTCTTGCAAATCTCATTCCCTGGGATCTTTGCCATGGAGGTGAATCTCACAGTGGTGCCTGTTAGAAAGCTGCCCAATCTACCAACTCATTGGCCACAGTCATCCCAAAGGTCCTCATACCCTCAGAGCAGAGCAGTGGGAATTTTTGCAGATCCCCCAGACTGGGTGGATGAGGAGCATCAGTGGGGCATCACTTTCTGCTGCTAATTGATGCCATTTCATTTCAGATCTCTGTGTGCAACTTGGATACTGATTATTACATATTTATATATAGCAGCTATTGTATATTTAATATTTACAACGTGTAATTTAAATATAATTAAAAATAGTCTATATGATGGGAAACACCCATAGCTGTTTTAATGAACTAAAATAACCATCAGCATGTTTGGTGGGGCAGGTGACTGTTTAACTTTATTAATTAAAGTGGGACATTTTCAGAGAAATAAACCCAACTGGAGAATGTCTCATGACAAACCATTGCTATACATCCCCTAATATTTTATAAATGAATGTTAATTAGATGGGAACCATGCTGGGATGAATTCTTCAGCTGATGGGTAAAAACAGAGTAGCCCAGCAGTTGCACATTAAATATCCAGGCACAGTTTCAAGCATTTGGTGTGCAGTCAGAACAGATCTAAATTTTAATGACCCAACTTGCTATGCTACATAAAATTCTAAGATAAAATGCAAATTTTATCTCTGTTAAAAGGCACACACAGCCGTGTGCCAAAACGTGCCATTTAGTTGTGCTAAAGGCATGTGGTTTGACCTCACACAAGAAAACCTGTGGCTAAAGAAAACCTGATGTAGGATGCAGAAATGTGTCTACTAACAATTAATCTGTTTTTAATCCAACTGTTTCTTCAGCTTTCACCCAAGTCAGTGTCATGATTTCTCTTGGAGTGGCGACATTGTTCTTCCAGTCATCTCAAAATTAACGTGACAGTGAAAAGTTCAGGCTTTATTTTTTTTCTCCTTTTTCTCTTCCAATGTGTAACAAACTCCCCAAAATTATTCCCCCCCTCCCCTCTGCTGCTGTTTCATGATTGCTGCAACAAAGGCAGACAAGATCTCTTTTAACTTCTCCCACAGCCATTGAAACCTGTGGAGAGGAACGGGCCGGGGCTGGAGTACAAAGTGAGCTGGAGGCAGCGGGGGGTCAGGACGGACTGGAATGAGGAGATGGTGAAGAAACATTCCCTGACTGTGAGAAACACTCCCACCTTCGTGCCTTATGAGATCAAAGTCCAGGCAGTCAATAATTTAGGATCCGGCCCCGAACCAAACGTTACCATCGGATATTCGGGAGAGGACTGTGAGTAGGGGAGACTTTCATGTCAAAACACGCTGCATGGGGGATTCCTGACATGCAAAACCATCAGATATGGAGGGAGGGATTAGACAGCTCCCAGCCAAAACTGCTGAAATGCCAGTGCCCAGCATAAGAGGCTTCAGCAGACAGGGATACCACTGATGCTGGATGCCAGTTTGCTGGAGTGTGAGGGTTTTTTGGAGAGGTCACTTGTGCTTTCATTAATCTCAGCTGCTGCCTTAATGTGAGTACTTGTTTGAACGCCACAGTCCATAAGAAGCCTATGAAGTGTAGCAGTCGTGCTGTATTTGGTGGGCAAAAAAAGGCTTTGGGTTCTCTGAGGCCCAACTCACCAGTTTAACACTGTCAGAAGTTAAATACTCTGCTAATTGGGTACAAATTCTCAGGCACTGGGTGTTGTAAGTGAACTTATAGGTGATGCTGGGTGTTACCTTGTCCATCGAGTCCTTGAAGGATGTGTCCTATTCTCCAGCCTGGGCTTCTGTCCAGTGGTTTTCCTTGACTCCCAGGTGTCACAGGCCCTCTGTGTTTCACCAGCACGAGGTTTCAGTGCTGGAAGTGGACTGGGTGCTGTTCAGGCAGGAGAATTCCCACTGTACACCCACAGGTGGGAATAAGGTTTGGTTCTGCATCATCTCTCCCCTTAGAGTGTATTTGAATAGTGAGAACAGGGGGAAAGAAACTCCACAGCATGGTTACTTTCTTTGTCTGTCTGTGATGAGTCTTATTTTATATCTATCTCTGGAAAATATTCCTTTCAATTCAGTTGTCAATGGATCAAGGCCTCTTTTTTTTTTTTTTCAGGCACTGTAATAGCTCTCTGTGTTGTTCAGTGATTAAAATCCAACTGTTTAATGAGCTTAGTTGTAAAATGAAATTGATTATAAAAAAAAACTTCATGATTGCCTTCTTGAGTGCTGTGTTAATCATTTTTTTATTCTTCTCACTGCTGTAAGCATTGCTTGAAGCAGGAAATCATAAATACTGGTGTAGAAATTCATATGTCCCAGTGCACCTGTATTCCAACCTTCAGTGGAAAACCCTGATATGGAAAAAATCATGTTTATTGGCCCATTTCACCCACTGGCTGCAGGTGGAATGGCTGTTTTCTTGCCTGCAGTAAGGCTGCACAAGCTGCCACGGTTTGAGCTGGAAAGCCAATCCCTGGAGCTGTGAACACTGGGAATCTGGGATCTTGGAAGGGTCTTTAATACCTGATACTTTTGTTTTTACAGTCCCAGATGCTGCTCCTTCGGGCGTGTCGGTGGATGTTGTGAACAGCACACTGGTCAAAGTCTTCTGGTTTGGAATACCAAGGGACAGAGTTCGAGGACATTTAAGAGGCTATAAGGTTAAAAGTTTCTCTTTAAATATTTCTATATAGTTCAACAAACTACTAAAGGAATCCTCAGATCAAGGATGATTTGCAACCTCTCATTTTTGGGAAGGTGAGAGAAATTATTATCATTAACATGATTTGTTATAGAAATCCCGATCTCCATGCAGGTCAGTTGGTGGAAAACAAAAAACATGCTGGATGGGAAGAGGCACCACCCAGAGAAACACTTCCTAACATTTGTAGGAGACAGGAACTATGGGATGATTCCTGGCCTGGATCCCTTCAGTGAATTCTGCTTAACTGTCCTGGCTTACAACTCCCGAGGGGATGGCCCCGAGAGCTCCCCCGTGGTGTTTGAAACTCCAGAAGGAGGTAAGACAAAATGGGGATGTGGGATGGAGGGACAGAAATTGAAATTGTCCTTGTGACAAGGTGAGTTGATTTTCTTATCTAAAGTGATTGTAAAATCTCCAATATTCAATAAAACCCTTCACTAGAAAGGGGAGCTGTAGGTGTTGAGCTAAACTGTATCCTCATTTAACAAGTGTGTTTAGGACAGAGCTGTTCAATCCTCTCTGAAAGATAATCCCTGTGTCTTCCAGTCCCTGAACAGCCACGTTTTCTGAGGATCCTGAACTTTGACAAGGACTCTGTCACTCTGTCGTGGGGACTTCCCAGGAAAGCCAATGGCCACCTTACTGGCTACATTTTGCAATACCAGATAAGTACGTGTTCGGTGTACTTGGAGTTTAGAATTGCAGCATGACCAGTTGAATTAAAACCACAGATGTGATGTGCACACAGGCTGCTAGAGGGCAGGCTGAAGTCAGCTTCCAGAGCTAAAAGTTTTCCAGGCACTTTTCCCATGTAAGCACATGTTATTGCCATGCCCTATCCCACACTGATGGGCTAATTCAATTATTTCATATTTGCAAATTATGCTTTATGTAGCAGTTAGTAAGACCTGTAAATTGTAGGTGCATTTTACTGAAGTGAAACTCATTCAGTGCAAAATAAATTGTAATGAGAGCACTTGTAAAGCCACATTTATACAGATTTGCACGTGGTGTCGTTGAGCTTCTCCCCCCATAAGGTGCCTCAGCAGAAACAGAGACAAACCACCTGAGTCATGTTATTGAGTAATCACTGAGAAATAACCTAATTCCAGGGGTATTTCTTTCTATCTTGCCTTTGAAAGAACTGAGAAACAGAGCAGACAACCTCAGGCAAGACCCAGTATTGGTCCCATAACACCAGCTGTGTGGTGTGGTGACCATTCTGGGTATTTTATATGTTGTTTGAGGATTAGACTATGTCCTGTTTACAAAACAAGTAAAACCCAGTGTACTTTTTATTAATCTTTGTTGGTGGCAGAACTGCCCAGTTGCCTTTGCAAGGGGTTTGAGGTTGGATCTTCCCTTTGGTTTTGATCACTATGGGCAGAGCGTGGATCCGTTTAATTATAGAATCACAGAATGAGTCAGGCTGGAAAGGACCACAGTGGGTTATCTAGTCCAACTTCCCTGCTCAGACAGGGTTATCCCAGAGGGCATGGCACAGGATTGTGTCCATGGCTCTGGAATATCTCCAGTGAGGGAAACTCCACAACCTCTCTGGTCTCTGTTTCAGAGCTCGGTCACCCAGAGAATAAAGTTCTTCCTCATGTCCAGGTGGAACATCCTGGGCATCATTTTCTGCCTGTTGCCTCTTGCCCAGTTGCTTGGTACCACTGAGCAGAGCCTGGTCCATCCTCCTGACCCCTCCCTGCAGATATTTCTGTGTATTTACAAACTCTTCTCCCAGTCTTCTCCCAGCCCCTCCTCCAGCTGCCCTCTGTGCTGAGGCAGAGCAGAGCACAGCAGCACAACCATCCTCTAACTTGCTTGTAAAAGTTTGCAGCTGTTTGGAAGCAAAGCAAGAAGCAATTCATATATATTTAATGATCCAGGAGACAGTAATTTTTTCCCTCCCACTCAGGATGTGCATATCTGGAATCAGAGAGCTTTTTAAGAACAGTAATAGCTCAGTGAGTAGTTGAGAGATTGACAGGGAGGATATAAATCCCATTTAAGCCCCTGGCAGGAAGGTGAGATGCTTATTCAGGATTTATCCTTCCCACTCACTGCAGTGCCTCCCTCACAGGAGTGTTCATGGCACGTTTCATGCTGGAAACAGGCACAGAAATGGTTGAGGGAGGGGATTGTCCCACTCTACTCTGCACTGGGGTGGCCTCAGCCTGAATATTGTGGCAGTTTGGGGTGCCACAATACAAAAAAGACATTAAGCCATTAGAGAGTGTCCAAAGGAGGGCAACGAAGATGGGGAAGGGCCTTGATTTGAAGCCGTGTGAGGACACTGAGGGCACTTGGTGTGTTCAGCTGGAGAAGAGGAGACTGAGGGGAGACCTCACTGCAGTTCCAACTGCCTGGGCAGGGGCAGAGGAGGGGCAGGGACTGAGCTCTGCTCTGGGGGGACCAGGGACAGCACCAGGGAATGGCTGGAGCTGTGCCAGGGCAGGGCCAGGTTGGATCTCAGGAGAAGATTCTTCCCCCAGAGGGTGGTTGGCACTGCCCAGGCTCCCCAGGGCAGTGGGCACAGCCCCAAGGCTGCCAGAGCTCCAGGAGGGTTCGGATGATGCTCTGGGGCACAGGGTGTGACTCTTGGGGATGGGCCTGTGCAGGCTGAGGGTTGGATTTGATGATCCTTGTGGGTCCCTCCCAACTCAGCATATCCTGTGATACAGCACAAGTGCTGTGAGGAGAGGCTGAGGGAGGTGGGGTTGTTGAGCCTGGGGAAGAGGAGGCTCAGGGGAGACCTCATCCCTCTCTACAACTCCCTGACAGGAGAGTGTAGCCAGGTGGGGGTCAGATTCTTCTCCCAGGCAACCAGCAGTAGGACAAGAGGGCTTGGTCTTAAGCTGTGCCAGGGGAGGTTTAGGTTGGACACTGGGAAGAAATTCTTTACAAAGAGAGTGATGAGACACTGGAATGGACTGCCAGGGAGGTGGGGGAGTCACTGCCCTGGAGGTGTTTAAGAAGAGACTGGATGTGGCATCAGTGCCACGGTCTGGGTGACAGGCTGGGGTTGGGTCACGGGTTGGACTGGCTGATCTCAAGAGATCTTTTCCCGCCTGGTTCATTGTGTGATTCCGAGGATCTGACCCAGCTCCTCTTCCCATCCAGTCAACGAGACACACGAGGTGGGGCCCATGAGCGACGTCAGCGTCACCAACCGCTCCACGCTCAGCTGGAGGCTCTCGGGGCTCAGCCCCAGCACCAAGTACAAGTTCTACGTGAAGGCCTGCACTGCCAAGGGCTGCGGGAAGCCCGTCACGGAGGAGGGACTCACCGTGGCTCAAGGGAGTAAGTTCACGGGCAATATGTTTTTATGGGGAGAAGAGCTAAAGAGTAATGGGAAAATCTATGGAGAATATTCCAGGCTTGACATTTCCTTTGTAATTAGAGGAAACAAATTTGTTTTTCTTTCCATGAGAACAATCAATGGACTTCTTAATGCGGCCGTGCAGCTCTTGAGAAAAGCAGAGCTCATCTGCTTCATTTTGCTGTGCAGCCCTATTTCTGTTCCCACCAATCAAGTCTTTAAGCCTTTCTAGAATGAGTGAATTGCATTTAGTCACCAGCTGAAAACTGAAGATGCAGATAATCTGTTCTCTGTAATAGTATAAAAACAAATTCTGCCCTTGCATGAAGATGGGCGACTTCCAGCAGCATTAGAGTTGGCTGCTTGACATGGAAAATCCAGATGAACACAGAGCTGACTGCAGTGTATTTGATCCATTATTTATGATTATTTTATCAGGGACTGGGAGTGAACATTTGTGTGCCACTTACACCCTGTCCTGAAACACTGATGTTCAGTGATTTAAAGGAAAATGGCAAGCACTGTGTGAGAGCTCATCTTTCACATTCAGCTGAAATGAAATAAAATGTACTGTGCTCAGCAAGTCTGAGAACTCCTCAACACTGAGGAGCAGGTCCCTGCTATTAATCAGAAACCATTGCTGGGCACTTACCATGGGGAAGGAGAAAGAGAACGTGATAAGCAAAAGAGTCTTGCCTTCATCATTTTCAGCAAAGATCACAGTCTGGAGCAATGTTGATGTAAAATAGAAAAATGGTCCTCGTTACACAACACCCTTGTTGGACTTCTAAGTTGCAGAATTCTTTTCAGTCAAAGAAACTTTAAACTCATCACATCCCAGTTCAGGATCCAGTTGTGATCTGCAGTTTGTTTTCTCAAGTAGTAAAACTCCTTCTCAGCTGTCTTGGAGCCTACAGTCTCACCGTAGTATACTAGTAGAAACTATTATTCTACCTATTAATCTATTCATAGTAGTAGCTATTAATCACCATGATTTAAAATTTATTCTTCATTATGGAAATAAAAAGATCTTTTTTTTTTCCCAGCTAAAAATCCACCATTACCCCTCATTAGTTACCTTTTCTGACCTTCATTGGGCAACCAGAAAAATGTTTTTTAGCCACTGGAGATTCTGTAACTTCTTGGAATCACCTTCTCAGGGTTTATGAGATGCATCCCAATCTGTGGGATGAGAATGTTACCATTTCTTTATTCTCATTCTCTTCTTTCTTCAGACTGTTTTCCAGCAGTGGCAACAACTTGTTCTTGTTGCTCTTGGAATAGAGTAGGATAATTAATAAAAGCTGCAAGGGTCCAGTTCTGTGATTTATGTGCTCCTGGCTGGTTCTCAAGCCACCCTAAATTAGGGCACTGCATCTGTCACTGAGATGCCATTAGAGTTCTGTGTCATTATTTGCTGGCTAAATTGTTCAGATATTTTTCAACTAAACATGATAGGCTGGGAAAAAAAAAAAAATCACTCTTTTCAGTGACCTTCTTGGGGTTTTAAGCTCTGGTGTGGGCAGGGAGGCAATTGCTCAAAATTAAAACAATCTCTCTTTTTGAAGAAAGGGAGTGATTTCAGAAGTCAAAGTTTATCATTCAAAATGACCCCCATAAATGACAGATATAAAATGTGGTGCCCTCTGAAATGAAACTCTGTGATGGAGCACTTTGGGGTTTGATTCAGGGATTCTATATCCACTATGTTCCAGTTTAATAATAAAACCATAAAGCTCTCCTTGTTCATTTTAAGGCTTTGAATAACTTCCTCTGCTGTAATACAGCCTTTGCCAGGGGTATTTCAGAATTTCACAATACATTCTGCCAGAAAAGTGCAGATGTTGAGGTGGAAGCTCTGCTTTCATTCACGTTTTATCATTGATATACTTCACCTGCTATTGATTTCATTTCTTTGGAGTTACCTCTGTTATTGTCATCTGGAATCAGAAATAAAAGCCCATCTCTTTTTTTTAAATATGTACATATATGAGTATGACTGTAGCACCATTGAAAACAAGGTTGTGCAGGGAAAATTGCTTTGTTCTACATTATAATTTTTCCAGCCTGTATTTTATGTGGAAACCATTTCCCAGTGATGAGTTTGCAGTGGCTGGAATTGCTGAATTTAGTAAAAAAAGTTCACATCAATTAAATAAATATAATTCTCTGTCTAGATAAATGGGTAGAAGCAGAGAATCATTTAGGTGGGAAATGTACTTCAGGATCATCCCATGCTCACATCTCTGTTTCTTCATAAAAGGTCTTTTTCCTATGACAGATCTTAAACATGGCCACAATAACTCAGCTATGAAACCCTGATAGGCAACCTAATATCTTTATCATCTGTTGATAAAATACTGTGGACAATCATGAAGATTCTGGGCAAAAGGATATTTGCATTGTACTGCAAAATAAAGTTTAATTTTTGTGGCTCCATCTTAGTTTCATTCCACAGAAGTGTAGTATTTTAAGAAAATGAGATTTCTCTCTAATTTTACATTTACAAACATTATTTCTCAAATGACCTACAAACTAATTAATTTACCCTTGAAAATGTCCATTTCCCTCAGAAACATAACACAAAATAATGTGTTTGCATAAGCGAAGGAAAATAATATATCAGAGCTGCTTTTCATCTTGTTACCAGTGTTTCTCGAGGATTACTGAACATGTACTACATGTTGAGAATTATCACTGTGTGTCCAGAAATTCAAACATTAATTAAAAAATTCAGTCAGAGGAAACCTTCCAAATGTAGCTTTATTTTCCAGAAGAGCCAATGAAATAGAGGCTCACCAGTTTTATTACATTTCCATGGCAATGGGCACGTAACTTCTAAAGGCTTTTTGAAAATCTTAGCCAGAGGTTCCTACTTTCCTTCATGACCAGAGTAACTGTTTGTAACAAATGGGGTTTTAGTTCTCTTTTGCCACAGGCACAGGGAAAAGGAATAACACAAAAACCTCAGTAACGTGTAACCACCGGTGCTGTTACCAGCAAACCCTTTTTGCTCACAATCAAGAGAATCCAGTGAAATTTGGGTGAAAATTTCTTGATCACTCCCTCACCTCGAAATTCTTCTCAGTAGACTTGGTGTACAACAGGCTCACTAATCTCTACAGATTAAAATAATCCCAATTTAGCATGAATTACTTCCTGCACTAAAAAAGCCCAGGAGATGAAGGATGCTTGGGATGCATATTTATACACTTTTAACAGCCAGACAGCAGGGGAAAATTAATGAAAGTTCAACTTTCCAGATGTATTTAGGCAGGTATGGTTACAAATGAAGATGCTGCCCCACAATTAGTATTTAGCTATTAGACTGCCAGCTTTTTTTATCTAAGTCTGTTTTATAACAGATGTGCTAACTTTTGGAGAACTAGCACTCTCTGAAGTCTTTGGGGGTGGTTTCTATTGTTTTTCCCTTTATACCATAAGCTTCTATAAAAAATGGGTGTTGGGTTGTACTCATAAATCTTGGAGCCCAGCAGGAATATTGTAAAATTGCAGTTCAGTGCTTAATGTTCATGCAAGTCCCATGGTATGGCTGATAAATAGTGGGGGAAGATGAAAAGTGCTGGTGATATGCCTTTATTACTAATGTTCCTTCTCCCTTATTGGAGATTAAAAACCTCACCCAACTGCTTTCAATTTTCTGAAGCTCATTCCTTCAGCTCTCTGGCCTTTCAGGAGGTGGAGATTTTCCTTGTCTGGGTATCTTTGCTTTAATTTTCAGGATCCCACACTGCTTTTTCTATTCCAGCCCCAATTAGCCAGGCTTTCTCCTCTGTAGGTCCAATATCGAGTGTGTAACACAGAACATAAGAAATGGCATGGAAAGAAACCTCATAATCACTCATCACTGGACACCTGTACTGAATTTTAAAGGAAAAATCAGTGTTTTGGGATAGGTGATGGTAAATAGGCTGGAGATCCATTGGCAAATCCCCAGTCCCAGCTCAGGTTGGGCTCTAACCTCATCCCAGAATGTTCCTCCCAGCTCTGTGCTGCTCCATGTGCCAGGGCAGTGGCACAGCTGAGCAAGAACTGGGCAGAAAAAGGAGTATTTCCCAGCCATATCAGCTCCCATTTCTGCTTCTACAAAGAGCTGATCGTTCAAAAAGAAGAGGTTGGCACAAGCTGGACATAAATAGGTGGGAGACAGGGCCTAGTTAAGCTGGTTTAAGAGTATGCACAACAAACCACAGCTGTGGGCTGCCAGTGAGCTCCAGCTTTAGCTTCCCAGGAATTCAGGAGAAATGTTTGCTGGTGTTGTGTACACATTGGATCATGTGGTTATCATGTCATAAACAAGTGTTTTATGGTATTTAATAGACACTGGGTTGAAGGTTCATGTTCATTCGTGCTACTTTGTGGGTAATATTTCCATTAAATACATTTTTCTGATGCCTTGATTTTAGAGCGTGTAATTAAAATATACCTGTGGTATCCTGTTGCCTAATTTGCAGTTTGATTAAAAATTATAGCTGGGTTTCACATACTTCATTTAGCAAAAAATTACCGATAGATGGATTAATTTATGCTAATGAGCTGTGCTTCAGTATCAGCAGCATTTCAGCTGGATGTGTTCTCTCTGGGTCCCAGTGGGCTACTAATTTAACTGCTTATTGTAATACATGTAGAGTTGCCTTGGAAAACTTATCTTGAACTGCTGCTTTGACTGTGCTTGGATTTGTCTTAATCTTTTTGGTTTTTTCTCCCTTCAGCTGTCAACTCAGCCTTAATCTCCAGCAGCTTCTTGCTTTGCTTGTTCACTAGTTGAAGTATTAATGAACATTGTTTTACTGCCACTGCTAGTTGGCAGAGCAGTTTTCAAATTATACTGTGTGCTCCACCTTTAGTTTAGACCACTTTGGATAAAACAGGCAAACTGGGCAACCGAGAACAATTAAAGAGTTATTTTAATCAAATGCAGCCTCCCAGTCTCTCTCCTGCCATCGAGGACAGAGACACTCCCATGTTGATGACTAAAGAGATCCCTCCATGTCACCCACAGTTCTGAACTGGCTGCTGTGAACAGGCTGTTCCTGTTCAGGCATTATGTCCTTTTTTTCTGCTCTCCACAAATGCTGTTTTGAAAAAGCTTGTTTGATACCCCCCAGTCTGAATGCAGACAGAGGTTACAGGAGGTGTTTTGCAAGTATCAAGGCTCTAAAGCCAAAGCTACTGGAACTTCCCATCTCTTAATCAAATATTAAACTCATCAGGAACATTTAAGTGCTTAAGTATCAATTTAAAAGCGAACTCCAACTCTATTGAAACAAGGCATTGTGGAGCTTAAAAGGACATGGAAAACTACTGTCAGGAGAGAAATGAGTACAAATCCTGATGTTATTTCTTTCTGTGAGACATATAAGAATCCATATCCAGATAACAAGCTGTCTGTGCTTCCCTGCTGAGCTCAGTTCAATGGGAGAAGCATCAAACCCCAGATTATCTTTACACAGCGAGCCCGTTTGCAAGTTGTAATTTTTTAAGCATGCATTAGTTAAAGCAGATCCATAATCCCCCATCAATATTAACTTTCATCCTGGGAGATGTACCAACCCCTCCATAAACATCAGGATTACTTCCCTCAGCTCTTTTATTTCATCTGATGGAATATTAAAAAATCAAGCAGGAGGAATGTTTTGTTTTGTTTTGTCTTTTTTTGTTTTTACTTTGAGAAATCAAATTGCCTGATGACAAAGGTTAAAAATCCTTGTGCGTGTCCTATCTGTGTGTTCTTTGCCTTTTTTGTGAGTGTGCATTTCACAGGCCTTTTGTTGGATGACTCCCATTAACCAGTGTGACCTGACTGTGTACATTCCGTAGGTAAAGGGACCGGCAGGATTTCTGATGCAGTCAAACCCACCCAAAAGTTTCACCCCATTGAGGCACTTGAGCCTGGCACTGAGTACACAGTTCGACTAGTGACTAAGAACTGGGTTGATAACAATAGCATTTTTGAAGATGTAATTGAGACAAGGGGGAGAGGTGAGCCATGAAACCCTTCCAGGTGATAAACATTCTGAACGTGACTCCATGTTGAGGTTCCATCTGATGTTCGTGCAGTGAAAGTCTTCCAAAATCATCATTTTCCCCTGTGATTTGTGAGTTGGCCCTTGCAGTTGAATCCCACGGGAGCACAAACACATCTGAGGTTCTCTGCTGATTCCTGGGCATTACCTGATGCACTGGAACAATCCCAGACCTTTCCAAAGCAGCTTTCCCTCCTGTGGGATTTCGAAAGGGTAGTGCTGTGATATAAATCCATTTGAAGTGGCCAGTCTGGTGATTTGCATGTACTGGGGGCACTTTTAACTCTCTCTCTTTCGCAAAACTGCTCTTGCATGAGAGGCTTAACAACTCTCTGCTCAGCTTTGCTGTGTGGTGTTAATCCTGTGAGTCAACTGCTCCCTCAGAACTACCTTTCTGAAATGTCTGTGTTGTGCCTTGTACACTTCGTGTTCCCCTTAAATCCAAAAATGCCACACTCTGGACGTGTTTCTACCTTGCATTTAAGTAGAACACCATAAGTAGTGATAGACTGGTTCAATTAGGATCCAGCACAGAGCATGTGATGTATTTATGTTATCACAGGGTGATGCCCTTTTCCTCCGATTAATTTTCTTCCTTGTTGCTCCTCTTCCATTTCCCCAAGCCTATGCTGGAATTTATGATGGGATTTCCACCCAGGGGTGGTTCATTGGACTGATGTGTGCCATAGCTCTGCTCACCCTGCTGCTGCTCACCATTTGCTTTGTCAGGAGAAACAAAGGAGGAAAATATTCAGGTAAATGGATTTATTGTCCTTTCGCCGTTTTCACATGTTAATAACAAACATCCTTCAGCCTTTTCTCTCTGGGGGCAGCAAAGCCTCGAGCACAAACATCCAATTAGGATTTGTAGCTTTTGATAAATATCCACAGAAGGGATTTTAATGAATACAAGTGAAACTGTGCTCTCTGGGTGAGACAGTGCTGTGTGCTGGTCAGAGAGTTGGCCAAGGCTTTTGACTGAATCTTCAGTGAATCTTCCAGCATTTAATCCAGCCGAAGTTCCTTGTTGGCAGGGCTCCCTGCTCACTTCCCACCTGATAACTGCTGCTTGACACACTGATAGAACTTCCACAGGAAGCCAAACTTAAAAAAAAGTGACTGTTTTGCTAAAAAGAGACTATTTTGTTAAAAGTAATACTGTAATTTTTAAAGAAATTAGTAAGGGCTTAATTCTAAGTATTGCACTATAAATCTGGTTACCCAGAGATGTGGTAGATTCCCCAGCTCTGGAAAACATTCAATGCCAGTTTGGACAGGGTTTGAAGCAACCTGGGCTAGTGGAAGGTGTCCCTGCCCAGACTGGATGATCTTTAAGGTCCCTTCCAACCCAAACCATTCCAGGATCCTATAAACACTTTCCAGCTCTTTAAAAATTAGGGAATAGCCCCAAATTATTGTGTGTCCAGCCAGCTCCAGGTCAGGCTGTGGGTGATGACAGGAGGTTTTCCCAATTCATCTGGGAAAAGAAAAGTCCACGTGGGAACACGACACACAGACCTGTCCTTTATTTTATTTGCACAGTGAAAGAAAAAGAAGATTTGCATCCAGATCCCGAAGCTCAATCAATAAAAGATGAAATCTTTGGGGAATATAGGTAAATAGGACCTGCTTTCCCAAGCATTTGTGTTTGTGGGGGTTTTGTTTGTTTTCCAAATGCCATCATTGTTTGGGACATTTTTCTAGCATGCAATTAATGCTGTTTTTCATTTTCAAAGCAAACCTCATAGGAGTGGATAAGAGTAGGAATATAAAGGTATATCCATTATACTTCATTTCCAAGCTGGGATATAAGGAAATATTGATTATGGTGGTTATTTTTCACTTTTTTTTTTTAATAAGCATTGTATGAATAATGTAAATATATATGATAATTTGGGTGCCTGCTGTAATTGGGTTCCTGCTGCCCACTGAAGTCATCGAATTAATTCTATGTCTTCAGTGGGCTTCAATCCCAGTCAGGCCCGAATCTGTAATATGTGGAATGCTCATTTTGTGGAATAAAATAAGGAAAAGTTTGAAATATGGTAAAAAATATAAAAAAACCAAACAAACCTACAGAAGTCTCTGTAGCAGAATTGAAATAACCGCTTTGGCTGCTTTAAAAACCCTAAAACTTAAAGTAATATGTAATTGTGGTGTGAAGGAAAATGCATCATTATAAGAACCATACTGGAAAAGTGATGTCTCTGGCCTTAAGGGCATAAAATTGCTGTTGAAATCCCACTTATATATACTACATTATTTGTACTGGAATAGGGGCTTTTTTTTTCTGCATAATTTCATCTTTATTTAATTTTTAATGCTTTCTAATGGGACAAATATTTAGAAAGGTAAGAAAGTCCTGAGGTTAATAACTCTGACCCCCTCCTTTCCCCCTGAAATCCAAACTTGCCTTTTTTATCAGTAGAAATGCCACGTGCAGAAAAGCAGCAAATATTTTTATGTGTGGGTTGCACACATATTGAGTCTATCCTGAAGAAGTGAAGTTCAGATTAATTTTTCTGTCCTTCCTTGGATAACACTGCCAAAGCTTTGACACTGAGTTGGCATCAGCAAGGGCTGTAACTGAGTAATTATGTACCTAATTCAGAGGCCTAATTGAGGGGTTTTTTTTAATGTAATCTTTTAATCTATGTTCCCAATCCCCCCAAATGTTGTGTTCAGTCAGGGGAAATCAGGCTGCTCTGGTTCTGAGGAGGAATGGCCAGTGGAATTCCCCTTTTTTCCCTGAATTTTGATGATGGTTTTGTCTTTTTTGTGGAATTTTCATTGAACATGGACTGCACGTGAGCGGAACCAGACACTGATCCTGCTTTTGTTTTTCCCTGTTCCTCCTCTTTAGCAGAAAGAAAGTCCACCAGTTAAAGATAAAATAACAGCAGAAAAAAGGGGGGAAAACACTTTTATTAGTACCTAAACTCAAACAGATGCTCCCAAGGCAGTGAGATAAAACCTCCAGCTGATGCCTCATCAATTCACCCACCCAACTCTGAAGGAAATTAAATAATTAGGCCCTGAATATTGCCCACTGTTTTGTAAACTGAAAATATCCCTCTATAAGGTGCCCAAGACTTGACATCAGCCCTGATTGCTGGAACAGACCCCTCAGATCCTTTCCAGCATTTCCTTTTCTTTCTCCTTCCCTTTCTGTCCGTTCTCCTGCGTGCCCAAGGCAAAAAGGGGCAAAAGATTAAACACGTGGGTAGTTTTCATCAATATTTACCTTTTTAACCAATTAATTTGTTGAACAATGATCAAATCCCTCATGAGGGAGTTCAGGTTGGTGGCACCCACCTGTGTGAGGAGCAGCAGAGCAGGACTCACGGGGTCTCATCATCCATGTCATCACCCACACAGACATTTCTCCCTCGCTCCTCCCTCCTGCTGCTTTTCTTTCCCAATAAAAAGAGCAGGGTTTTTTGTTTTTTGGGGGGTTTTTTTGCAATGCAAAGCGGGATTTTTGGAAAGGCATCTCTTTATTTTGTAGTGACAGCGATGAAAAGCCGCTGAAAGGCAGCCTCCAGTCGCTTAATGGGGACATTAAAGCCACTGAAAGTGCTGATAGTCTGGTAGATTATGGAGAAGGGGAGCATGGGATGTTCAATGAAGATGGTTCATTTATTGGAGCTTATTCTGGATCTAAGGAAAAAGGATCAGTGGAAAGCACTGGGAGTTCTACGGCAACTTTTCCTCTCCACGCCTGAAATATTGGCAGGGATGGTTGGTGTTTAATTGTGATATTTATCTCGATCAGCACTCCACAGGTTGCCAGTTGAGCTGGTCAGGACCAACCTGACACCCAGGTAATATAAAAAATGAGTCACTGCCACTAAAAGATGATTTTCTATCTTAATTTCTACGTGTTTTCTTCTAAGTAAAACAAAAACGAAGAATTATTTGCTCTACAAAATGTGTTAGTCTGACCAACCCAGAAATTCTCGGTGTTATATCTGTATCCTTAAATGCTACTCCATGTGTTTCCTAGGTTTGGAATATGTTTCTCTGTACAGATAATTTTTTCCTGTATGGCTGTTGTCACTTTGTACATACATTTACGTGTAGAATTCCCACATGTGTCATGGCCTCAGTTATAACCCAGGAGTTATAAACCAAGAAAATCAAATCAAAATAGCAGGTTACTCTGCAAAGTGGCACAATGACCCTACTGAGAAAAATGCTAATTTAAAATACCGGAGAAATATATTCTATATATTGTATAATTTTTCCTAAGGTGTTAAACTCCTTCGTGTATGATACTCTAAAAATTATTTTAGTGGTTACAGCTGACTTCAATTACCAATACTTAGAGATGCAGCTTTATCCACAGCAAAATGTGGATGGAGCTGCTGCCCAGTAGCTGGCACTATTTCCTTAAATAAGTTAAGCTGCAGCATCTTTCCTGTGGCAAGGCAAAACAGGGTTCCCATCCCATCACTCAAAAGTGTTTTAATTTGTTTTCCCCAGTCTCTGCAAGCTGCATTTCTAAGCAAAATCCTTGTTGTCTGTCTCATATCTGTATATTTGTGAGCTAGCAAACATTTCCTGGAGACGTTGTACATATGATATTAATATTGACAAAAGTAAAGATCAGCCTGGTTTTATTTTAAACGAGACATGTTGCTAGCATGGGTCTGTATAGCTGTGTAGGAATGAATAGAATTGCTTCTCAATATGAGTTTGGACCAGCAAAACTAGTTTTCAGAAGGAGTTTTTGTGTATTCCAGTCATCCCACTCTCACACTTTTCCAATATCACCTAAACTAGAGCTACCTGACTTTTGAGAGATCATTTATTTTCAAGCTATTCACTGTTAAATGAACAGAAGCAAAAGCAAAGAGAAAATATTATGGTAGAGTTTCTGTTAATATTTTGTTGACTGAATGCTGGTTTAAATTCTTTCCTTTGCCTCCCCAGCACTAACTCAGCAAAGCTGTACAGCGCATTTTCTTGGTCTTTTTGTATTGAAATCTCCTGAATCTCTTTAATAGCATTTGTACTTTTGAATCTGCTAATTTGAGTAGAGTATCGATGTGGCTTCATTTCTTCTTGGGCTTTCAAAGGACTGTCACTTCCATTAGAATGTTTGTAAACAGTGACTGCAGGAGGAATAGATCCTAAAAGCTATTTTGCATTGTGATGCTAATTAGGCAAATCTCCCCAGTGGCTCCTTCGTGGGCTCCATGATTTCAGTGGAGGAAAGCGAGGAAGCAAGAATTCCTCCCGTGGTTCTGAGTTTCCAGTAAGGGCTCCAATTAAGCCCAGTTAGTTGCCCACAGAAATGCAGGTTGTTCCCAGTGGAAAGGCTGTGGATCACACTCAGCTCCCCTTAGGCTGGGGCTGCTCCTCAGAGCTTGGTAATTTCTGGAAGCCTTTGGTGCTCGGTGCTTCTGCGTATCTGTGCTTCTTTTTTTTGTTTAATTTTAGTTTTTAAGGGCCTTTCTCGTAACCTCTGTTTGGAAAAAACAACCCCCAACCAGCCAGCCCCAAACCCCCACTGAGGCTCTGTATATGAGTATAAAATGATGAGTGGAAACCTGCCCTGAATCAAAAATCACCCCACGCTACATCAGTGACCCAAATCATTCACTTTTTGTAATTTATGAAGTTTTATTTTCTGTATTTCACTCAATCCAAACATGGAAAAATTCCAAAGAGCTTTTCATTTTGGTAAAAACCCCCAAACAACAAATCTTCCTTTTCAAAAGAAGGGAGTGCACAATTGGAGACATGTGAAAATTGGCATCTCAGCAACAGAGACGTTTCCCAGCAGCATCTTTATCTGCTGACTCGTGTCTGCTGCAGCCCAAACCAGATAAAATCTAAGAACTGATTAGGCTTGTGACAATCTTTGCTGCAAGCTTTGGGCTGTTTTTAAGGTATTTCCTGTAGGAATCATCTGCACTGATCAAGGGTCTTCTAGATAGGAACAAAACTAGGGAATAAAATTGGGGTGGGCTCCCCTAAATCCTCCCTGAGCCCTCTGGGCTGGGGATGGGCTGTGTTTGCTCATCCATTTCCTTGTGCTTGGGGTCACTGCAGATAAAACAGACTCCTCCTCTCAGCAAAAACCTCTGTTAAACAGGCACAAACTTCAGATTGTATTAGTGAGTGTCAAATTATGGAATAATGAACACGAATCCCCTGTGCTCCCACTCGCTCTGTTGCTGCTGAGAGGTGTTTATGATGTCCCTGTGATGTGCTGTTTTTCCCATTAAAATTTTAATTCAGATCCTTAAATCTTAGTGTTGGTGCTTCACGATGCCTCAGGGCCTAAAAATCCAACAGTGAGGAAAAGATGTGCAGTAGAACCTGTGCAGGGCACACAGGCTATTGAGGAACATACCCCGTGAATATTAAACAAATGGCTCAAACTCTCAGGAAATCTCCCTCACCTGAGCTGTTTTCTCTTCCCCAATCATTTATTTCCCTGGTTTTCCCCCCTCCCTGGGCTTTTATTTTCTGCTGGAAGGGTACAGCTCATCCAGTGTGCCCTGGGAAGTGCAGGGCACCGATGGTGTTTTAGAGATTTGCTTTCGAAAATAAATTAACAGAGCAAGGCGAGATTTTCCTGAGGAGTTTTTTGTCATTGCAAGGAGTTGAGCTGAGGTTTTTTTTCTAGATGTTACAGCTGAGAGAAAGTGTGGCCATGTAGCTCAACAAAAAGCATCACCAGCTTTACTGCACATCACAGAAACACGGAATACCCTGAGCTGGAAAGGACCCATAAGGTCACCAAAGTCCAACTCCTGGCCCTGCATAGGACAAGCCTCAAAAATCCCACGATGCTCTGAAATCCTAAATTAAGTCACTAAATCCTTTGTTGCTTTTTTTTTTTCCCCCTCTGGAGAGGAGTGTTTATTAAAATTAGCTGATGGCAGTCTGTGGTGATCTTATTAATTAGTACCTGGCAGGGAATGTCAGCCTGGCTGCTGGGAGGAGGGAGTCCTGCCGTGGGAGCAGACGGAGCTGGATTGGGAATCATTGATTATCCCGTGCCATGGCTGGGGTCTGGTTCCATTTGGGAATCATTGATTATCCCGTGCCATGGCTGGGGTCTGGTTCCATTTGGGAATCATTCATTATCCCGTGCCATGGCTGGGGTCTGGCTCCGTTTGGTTGTGATCCACCATTTCCTTTTGCCTCAGTCCAAGTGTGAGAGGGGAAATGACACTTTCAGATTTGATATCTAAGTCTAAATCATGTGATTCCAACCAGCAAGGAGGAGGCCTTTCCCTGGCCCCACTCATCCAGGTTTGTGGGTTTAAACAGCCTCTGGAAAGAAGAGAGGGATGGATGTGTCCCAAAAAGTTGTGCAGTTTTGACTGTGCATGAGATGAAACAAATAAAATCAGCTCTTCCTAAATCATGGGAAAAAACTCTGTCCTTTCTCCCAAGTGAACTGTTTGGATTCACAGAGCAGCATAATATTGGTTTGGTAAGGGCTGTAATCCCAGAACTATTTTTTTCTTTAATTAATATATATATTTATGCATATATAATGTAATTACACAATCAAGAACTTGTAGGAATGGCCCCAGCTTCCTTCTCTGGCAAAGTCTGGGGATCCAACCTCCAGAAATCTTCCATTCTCTGCAGTTCAACAGGAAAACACTCCAGGACTGGTATCAAAGCCCCACTGGGCTGGACCTTTAGGAAGAGCAGAATTAGGAATCAAATCTGAAAATGACTTTCCCCCTCTGGATAAAATTGTGTGTTCATGTATAAAAAACCTTCTTTGTAACTCACATCTTAAATGGATCTAATTGGAATATCATATAATGATTGATATTTGTTCATGTTACACAAATTTTAATGAGCAGCTCTTTTCCTGGTAAGTAATTCCATTGACCGAGTGGGTCAATCCAGTGCATGAGAGGTTTTAATAAAAGTTTTCAGGCCCATATAATTTTTGAGATGAAAATAAGAACTAGCACAACCTTTCTGTATAAAAAGGTGGGGTTTTTTTAAATGATAAATCCACATTTTGTAAACGAAAGTTAGAATAACCTTCACTGATCCTCGAGCTTCTGAAAGGAAACCTCCTCCTCCTCCTTTTTACAGTCATTATTTTGCAGATGAAAGGTGCAATTAGTTATTTTACTTGCCTTCAAAAAACAGACCTAAAGGAAGGAAATTCTTCCCAGAGAATTTCCTTGGTTTGCCCGGGGATTGAGCCCTCGGCTGCACCTCTGTCAATGTTTAGGGTTTCAAAATATAAATGCACAAACCGTGTTGGAGCACCAGGACATGTTTACATGGCAGCTCTGGATCTCTCCTGTCCAATCTCAAGTGATCTGCACTGATTTGTTCTGGTTTCAGGCAGGAACCCCCCGGTGGGTTTGAGCCAAAGCACACTGTCTGTGTTTCGGTTTATTATTATTATTATTATTATTATTACTGTTGTTGTTATTATTCTTTACACGAGATACTTTGTAATTTCACGAGGAAAAAAGATCAAAGCAAATGTGGTGTCACCGTCAGGACGTTACTTTTTTGGAGCTAAATGTTTGTGTGCATTGATTAAAGTTTAGAGGAACGTGTTGTATCTGTAGTTGCTGTTTGTACCACGCAGGTGTGCACGTATGGTTCGAAAAGATATTTTCATTTTACATGAAATACAACTTTGCTAATAAAAGTTTGACTTGATGTAATCTTCAAAAGCCTTAGTTGTAATTGTAATCAGCAAGTTTCTCTTTTGTTTTGGTTTGGTTTTTTTTGGTTTTGGGTTGTTTTTTTTTTCACCTGAGAGCATTTATTTGCTGGGAATCTGCTTTATTTGTCACCCACAGCCCTCTCTTGTGGTGTGAGGGGAGGTTTTTTTGCTTCACACCAAGGCTGAGCTGCCCTTGGCTTTCACTGGGACTGCTGGACACCACAGACCAACAACCATGTGGATACAACACCAAGGCAGGATGAACCTGACCTGCAAACACCTCGAATTCAAATGCCTCATTAATTCCATGGTCTGATCATCTCCTGGATCATACTGTCATCCCATACACTGTCAGCATCTCTTACAGCCTTTATCTACCCTGTTAAGAGCACAGAACCTCCCAGCACACAGAGATCTAAGCTGAGGGACACGTGAAATACCCACAAAAATAACATTATCCAGATTAAAATCCACTTAGCCATGAAACAGAGGACAAAAGTCAACATACCAGGCGTGAGCAGAGGTGAGAGGACCTGATCGAGTTACACATGGTAGAATACACCTATAAACATCAGCAGGTTGAATTTCTGCTCCTCTTCATTAAAGATCACCAGAATATTTTCAATTTTATAAATGCTAAATAAATTCTATAAATACCCAGGCACCAGGGAACACAGTAATACTTATTTTTATTTCTTATACCTTAATTAGGGGAAACTACACTGATGCTTAAGGTCTGAAATCTATATGTTATCCTTGTAAACTATGTTTGTCCTAAAAGACTGAAATCTATATTTATTTATTATACAGAAACATAACAACTGTGCTTTGTTTGACAATGGAAATAGAAGAAGAGCAAAATACCTGCCAAGAAAAATGTGAAAGGAGCAAAATACCTTCATTCTGTTGTTACAGATTATTAAAATGGTCATCCTGTCCCTCCCCTCCCCACAATATTGTGTTATGTGATTTCTTTAATTGTAATCTGCCTGTCCATGGAGAAGGTTCTGCATGTGATGCACCCACCTGATAACTGAAACATTCAAACTGAGCACTCCTTAAAAGCCAGCAGATAAATCCATGGCAGCTGATATTGCAAAATCAATTTATTTCTTTCATGTATTTAACAGGAATCTGAAAGATCTACTTGATGTCAGGTGTGAGACAAATCACACACACACAGCATAATCCCTGGTTTCCCATCCTGGTTTGGTTTCTGTGCTATTTTGGGGGTATTCCACTCAATATATTTCTTTTGACCACGTGTTTTTTGCCACTTCACTTTAACTGGAAGGTGTCAGGGCTTTTGTAACTCATTCCTCACCTGCAAAAACTCCTGGATATGTTCAGTGGGAATGCAGAACCCAGCAGGGCTGTGCTAACTGGCGTTCACCTCTCAGCAAGGCACCAAGGGCATCCCAAGTTTTCTTTTATCGTTCTTCACGTCCTGGAATAACGAGATTTACACTTTTCTCAAGAGCATAATGGGGGGGGAGAAGTCTTACAATCATGTGCTTCACTGGAGTGAGGATAAAGATGCTGCTGCCACCCTCAGGTGTGTGGGTTGCACATCCCAGCTCAGCACATCCCACAGCCTCTGCTGACACCCAGCCCCCCAAAGTTTAAGGATAAAATAAGGGAACGATATATTTTTAGTTGGTATTTTGCTTTTAATACACATTTGGCATTAATAGAAGTGGTTTGGGGGCAGAGTATAACTCCTAATGTTCAAACATTTCATTCTGTTCTCCAGTCCCACAACGAAATGTCATCGCTTTTTGACTTTTACCATCTGTTAATAAGCTTGAAATGCAGAGGAGTCAGTCAGTCACCCAGAGGGAAATGCCAGCAGACTCCCTCCTTGGAAATGTCTAAGCTCTGCAGATTTCTAGGCCTCATTTAACAAGACTTGTGTGTTGGTTTTGCCATGCTTGAAGCCCATATGATGTGGCCAAACCTGCCCAGAAGGGCTGTGCCACCCCAGCCCTGGCTGCAGAAATGGGCACTTCTGGAAAAAAAGCACAACTCTCTTCATTTCAAGTTGTTTTTTTGTTTTTTGTTTGTTTTTTTTTAATGTAGAGTTTGTACCTCTATGCTGCATATCAAGCCCAGCCTGAAGGTTGCAGCATGTTCCTCTCCCTTTGCTTGGAATGTTGGGGAAGGAACATTTCAAAGCAGAAAGCAGGCAGCAGTACCCTGTGTTCAGCTGGTTTTGCTTTCACCCCCTGGTTTAGTTTGGGAGTTCAAAGGCTTCCTGATGTTATGCTTTTTCAGCACGTTTCCAGTACTTTTTTGACTGAAACCTCTAAAAACTGATGGCTTTGACAGCTGTGCTTCACCTGGGATGGAGGTGAGGAGGAGTGGGGAGGGTGGGAAGCACTTGGCAGCTGTGGCTCATTTTCAGTTCCTTCTCCTGAGGGAAATGCCATACAGGAGATACTCCTTACTAATTATCTTGGTGACCAGTCAGCCTTTCCTTCCAATTTGGGCTGCAGTTCCCCTCCTGGCTGCAGTTCCCATTTCTTCTGGGGTGGGGAAGCCCTCCAGTGGTGTTACAGCTCATCCTGTGGGAGCAGGACTGGGAGGTGATGTTGTATCTCCTGTGTTCCTGCTGGGCTGGAGATGGAAGTGGAGCTGCAGGAAAACCCATGGCTGTGGAGAAGTGACCAGGCATCCAGGTGAGAACATACCAGCTGTTGGAAAATGGGTTTGGTACTGCCTTTACTTGGAAGAGTAAAGTGAGGAGATGAGAAGACCTTGCTGGGGAGATTTAGGAGGGCTGTGATCCCAACAAAGGGTTTTGCTGTATTAGGGCTGGTTTGCAGCCTGTGCTGTGGGATTTTCCCCTTTTTCCTGGCTGGAAAAAGGGTGGCTGCTCAGCTGTTTCCTCTGGAAAAGGCCTGTTGTCATCCCTGAGGTACGGGACTGCCTCTGCTGCACAGACTTCTTATTTTTCTTTTTCCTTCTGACTCTCCATCAGGATTTGTCTGTGTTGATCCCTCAACTTTGCTGTCCCCAGGCTCGGAGAAATTCCAGCCTGTTTTATATCCCTGTGTTCTTCCTCAGCCTGCATTTTTCTCACCACCTGTAACCTCTCTCATCCCTTCAGGGTGGAAGTTGTGTTCCACTGACAGATACACGTGGGATTTTGAACTTACCGTGGATTGAGGTGTCTGAGCTCTTCCAGACTTTTTGATGCCTTAAAAAAAAAAAAAGGGGGAAAAAAAAAAGAGGGAAAAAAAGTTTTTAAGTTTAATAAAAGAAAAAGGTGAGGCTAATCTGCAGGGTTTAAGGCTCTTTGTAATAAATTTTCATTCCTGGGAGAGCAGACACCCAAAGGAGAGTGTGACCTTTGCCACATCCCCAACTCTGTCACTCAGGGTGTGTGAGCCCAGAAGTGCTTAGCTGGGCTTCTAGGGAATGTGGATCTCATGGAAAGCTGATGCTGATGCTGAATATTTAGCTGAAAACATGATCATTTTTTCAAAACTCTTCCCACTTGCTCTTCTGGGTGATGTAAAGAAGATCTGTGCAGGTGCTCAGGCACTCACCAGTTTGTTACTGGTGTGAAGACCTTCCTGAGCCTGGTCCTGGTGTGGAATTTAACCCAGGAATCACTTGTGTCTCTCTCTCCTGTGCATGCTTATATTTTTAAGTGAATACCTTTTATTATTATTTATTAAACGATGAAGAGCACAAATGCAGCTTCTAATAAAAATAAGCTCACCATGTAAGAGGGATGTTATCCTTTATGACTTCATGCAGTCACTGTTCTAAGCATTTGTTTTCCTCTAAGTGGCAATTTATATGAAACATGCATAGGGAAAACAAAAATAAATCCTGGACTATTTAAATTACAAGTGGAGTAGCAACTTCCAGTGGAGCAGGAGTTCTGGTTAATTATTTATAGTTTTGAAAAGAGTACATTTTCCAAGCTCAGCATGGAACCCAGAGACCACTAAGTAAATAAATTTACACAAAGTGCAGTGAAATCAGATCGTTTGACACAGTAATTCACCTAATTTGAAAAATAACGTCTGGAGGAAAAATAACTGTTGCCAAGAGTAATGTCAGCAAAGGGGTCTGGAAGGGGCCATGACAAGTGGAGGGGGAATAGCTCTGGAACAAAGGGTTTGAGGAGCATTGGGAGGTGGGGGGAAAATCACAGCAGCTGTTAAAGCCACTTGTTTTCATTGTTTCTTCACCAGGAGCAATTTAAGTGAGTTTTACCTCAAGTTTTTTGAGGAGGAAATAGTTTGCTGAAAAGTGTTTGCTTTGTTTCCTTTCCCATGACCATCAGTTGGGGAGGATTTTCAGGTCTTGAGAAGTTTCTTGAAGTTTTTTTACTAAGAAAAAAAAGAAAACTGAAAACTGTTCTTTTTTATTTCATTTTTTAATGACTTCAAGGATGTGAATGATCTAATTCTTAATGGTGTCGTGTTTTGTTGTCCTGATAACTCTTAATTTCCAGATTTTATATTTTTCCTGGATTTTTTTGCATATATTTAGAGCTGAGCTCTGCTGGGCTCAGCCACTCTCCTGCACAGGTTTTCATTCTCCCAGAGCAGCAGCATCTCCATGGATTTACCTGAATCCAGCTTTTCTGAACCTCCCAGCTCCTGGAGTCCCAGGGCTGCAGAATCATGACTAAGAGGAAGAATTTAACACTTGTGTTTTCAGATTATTTCAATAAGGGGAAAAAAATATAAATCCAGTCTACCTCATGGAAGAAAGGTCATCAGGCTCAGCCTGTGGTTTACTGAGAATTTTATAATTTTTAAAAATAAATAGTTACAAAACTCCCCTCCTTTTGACTGTATAAAGCCATGGGGAGAATGGAAGAAGAACATATTAATTCTTTAAATATGCAGGATTGTGACTCTGTTGCTGACTCTGCCTTTCAAAACTGAACATTTAACTATCTGCAAAGGCGACATTTTGACTAATTTTGGCAAACCTCACAAAAACATGCATTTCTCCGTCCTATTATACATGAGTTGAAATTTG